CCATAGCGGAGCACACGAAGATCTGCGCACACCGTGCAGTTGTCTCGGAGCGGGAGGGAGAAGGGAGGAGGATCCAGGGGAGGGGATGGAGGGGCGGGGGAGAGAGGGGGGGAAGAGGCAGGAGGGGTAGGAGGAGGAGGGGTAGGAGGAGGAGAAGGAGAAGGAGGAGGAGGAGGAGGAGATGGAAAGAGAGCATAGAAAGGAGTGTTGGAGAGAGCGGTTGTGTACTAGTGTTTGTGTACCATCTGGGAGGTGTCTTCGATTTGAGGCGCGCAAAAAGAAATGTATTGTAGTCTCTACGGGGGCCGCGGGGGGGACTCACGAGGGCCGCTGAGGGGTGCCCGTGGTGATCTTTGGCTCTGCCCCCCCCCGGGGCTAGGTTCTGGTACATGAGGCAGATATATTTCAATCAAACAATAAGCACACATATATATATATATATATATATATATATACACATATAAGTATGAGAGAGCGCGTTTCGCGGGCGCTTGCCTTGGGAACGATCGGCGGGCGTTTCGAGTCGGGGGGTGGGCCCCCCCCAAACAGAAACACTCGGCGCCGTCGATCAGAACCAAGGGACTCCCCTCCCCCCTTACCCTCCCCCCCTCCCGCACACCCCTACCCCCCCCCCTTCCCAAGGGGTGTGGGGGGGGTCCAAAAACACCACCCCTGGCGCCGGCGCCGGCGCTGGCGGCGGCCAGCAGCGCCGACGGCGGGGACGCAGCGACGATGACCAGAGAGGGCCCAGAGGCCGCAGAGGGAACACACACACACAAATCACCACTTTGAGCCATCGCATGCTCCTCAGACGCCCCCGAGACCCCTCTGACGAGACCTCAAGAGGCATCCATTAGGCCTCTGACCCTTTGCCAAAACACAGTGGCGGGAAGAGCTAAAGGCCACACCACCACCACCACCGCCACCACAGACCAGCATATCCACCACCACCACCGCCACCGCCACAACCACTACCACAACCACCACAACCCACCATCACCACAACCACCACAATCACCACAAACCACCTCACCACCACCACCACCAAAAACGCCACCACCACCAGCACCACCACAACCCACCACAACCCACCACACCACCACCACCACAAACCACCACACCATTGCCACCACCATCACCACCACCGCCACAACCACCACCATCACCACAACCCACCACCAACACAACCACCGCAAACCACAACAAACCACCACAACAACCACCACCACCACCCACCACCCACCACCCACCACGACCACCAGCACCACTTCCAGCAGTAGCACCACCACCAAAACCACAGCCCACCACCACCACCACAAGCCACCACGCCACCACTACCACCGCCACCACCACCACCATCACCACCAAAACCCACCACCACCACCACCAAACCACCACACAGCCACCACCACCACAGGCACCACCACCACCACCACAGCTCACCACCACCACAGCTCACCACCAACACCACCAATACACCAACCACCACCACTCCACCACCATCACCATAATCTACCACATCACCACCATCGTCACAACCACCACCACTACTACCAGCAGCACAACCCACCACCACCACCACAACCACCAAAAACCACTTCACCACCACCACCACCACCACCACCACCACCACTACCACAACCACGAGCACCCCCGCCGCCGCCGTCATCCGCCGCCGACGCCAGCGCCGGCCCGAGGAGAGGGAGAGAGGAGAAGTAAAGGGGGGGTTCGAACACCCCTCCCCTCCGTTACTGGGGGGGGGGTCCGGCTCCCCCCCCCCCAAGCGACCACAGAACGCGCTCTTTCGTACGTATATATCCATAGAGAGAGGACGCAAACAAGCGAGAGCGAGACCGACAGGCAGACGCATTCAAAGATAAGACATAGACGCAAGCGCAGACACCTAGACACGTTTCCTCCGCTGGCGATGTGACACCACAATCAAGAACACGTATGGGACGCGTCCACACGCATTGCACATAACGTTTGTGATAAGGCGGAGGCGTGGCACGAATACAAATAACCCCATGACTCGGATATGAAACAAACTCTAAGATATGGAAACACGCACACACACCTATTTCAAAATACGGGTCAACCTCACAAGATGCTTTCGCCCTTCCACTCGGCAACTCCCTAATATGCTTGAGTTCACATATCCATCTCCTCCCCACGCTCACCTCAATCAGACCCATACGTCTTGGGACAGAGGGAATTACGAAGGAGCACAGCAAATGCCTCATCATATGCATATGTATATGCATAGTGTATATATGTTATGCTCAGCGGGCGCTGACACTTGAAAGCTCATTAGGCCTCTGGGGGGAGCGGCGGCACAACACATTCCTGGTGTCTGCGCCTCCTGCCTGCGCGGCTTCCAACGGCACGAGAGAGGACTGTGCGGACCATGAAAGCTGACGACCACTGCGCCGAAGCGGCTGCGGAGTGAAACGCAGATGGACACGTTAAGCCACAACGTCTTTGAGGGCACACGCTCATTCCTGCTCCGAGGCCAGGCTGAGGCGACGACGGCGGCTGAGAACGAACTTGGCCACGCACTACTTGGACACCCACCCGCCGCGATACGATGATCTGCCGACCCGACGACTCCTCGGATGTGCCACCGCACCTCGCTGGATGGGCCCGTCCAGAACGGACGGCGCTCTTCGCCCGCGCCCTCCCCCCTCCCCGAAGCATGCCCGATCTTCTCTTGGCTGCCTCTGCCCCCATGCCTCTGCGGCGGGGGATTTACGATACACTACATCGAGGCAAGCATGTGTGTTCTCTGACGTTTGCGAGTAGGCACTTTGCGAGTAGTGGAACGCGCTCGGTGACCAGCTGGATCGCTCTCTCTGGCCCTTCAAAGGCGTGCGACTCTCCAGAGGCCCCGTGGGGGCAGGAAGGGAAGGGGCATGGGGAGCCCCTCACCTCCAAGGAGCCCCTGGCTAGCCGACCACGCCTCAAAGCGCCGTCGCCAAGCCCCATAGCCCAACAACGCCATGCAGGAAACGGGTCCCGAGGGTAACGGGTCCTGGATCCCGGGGCGCCCCCCAAAAAACCACACCTTCCACCTGGGCTTAAGTCGGGCCTGTCCCTACAGGGGAATTTTCGACGAAAAATAAAAGATACCCCAAAAATAATCCAAGAATAGTCCAAACATAGTCTGGGGACTTTTTTTTTCTCTCAATATTTTTGACCTTTTGAGGGTATGTTTGGAGTACGTCTTATTTTTCGTCGAAAATCCCCCTGTAGGGGGACAGGCCCGACTCAAGCCTACCTGGACAGGATGGTCGAGGATGGATGAGGGAGGCGGGCCGCACACGTGCGACTGCGTGGCGAACGGGCTAGCCCACGCGTGCCCGGTGCCGCCCACGGAGCTGCCGCGAGCCAACCGAACACCACGAGCTTGACATCGCCTCGAGTAGTCTGGCGAGGGGCCTTACCAGCCCAGAACATATCCCTATCCCTATGCTGGGCATCGCCTCATCACGATGGCGATCTTCGGGGGACACGCCCGACTTAATCCTAGACCCTGGGGCGGCCCCCAAAAACCACACCTTCCACCTGGGCAGCTCTCTTCGGCCCTCCCGGGCGGCCCCCCCCCCCGGGAGGCCGCGCACGGCGAGGAGCCTCGAGGCCTCCGCTCCTCCAGGCGAAGAGGCCTCCTTGGGTGAGGGCCAGAGCAGCTTGAAGTCAGGCCTGTCCCACTACAGGGGGACTTTCGACGAAAAATAAAAAAATACACCAAAAAGAGCAACTTGAAGGGGAACTGGGACTCACAAATATATCCACGCAAAGAACCAGGTTCCTGATATTTTCCTATATTTTCTGGGTTCTTGTCTTCCCCCCCACTTCTCATAACTTCCCATATTTTCTGGGGAGTCGACGATTCATTGTGTCTGTGTTTTTTTCCCTCCTGATAGATCGGGTCGGAGGATCGCCGGCGCATCGCCGATACATCGGCGATGCATCGGCGATGCATCGGCGATGCGCCGGCGATGCATCATCGACGTGGTCGATGCGTCGGCGACGTCGACGTGAAGCCAATCGGGCTCCACATCGAGCCGCATCGCCGATGCATCGGCGATGCGGCGCGATCCTCCGACCCCGTCTGCTCGGAGCCCATCTGGGAGGCCTGGATTCAGGGAGCCCATCTACTCGGAGCCCATCTACTCCGACCCATCTACTCGGAGCCCATCTTCGAGGCCCGGATTCGGGGAGCCCTCCCGCCCACGACGCAGAGAGCCGGCGACGGCCCCGGCCGGCGCGCGGCGCGAGGGCCCGCGGCAGAGGGCTGCTCGGGAGCGGCCACGAGGGCGGTGTCCAAGAGGGGGGGGTGCAAATCATGACCGGCGGCACGTGCGCGGCCCAGCGGGGGGGCCGGGGACGCAGTGAAGAACTAAGAGGAGGCGCCATGACATCTGTGGAAGTATCCTGGCCCCCGCCATGATATCCCGCACCCCCTAGTCATCACCCCCCTCTTTTTTGGACGCCCGAGATGGGCACGGAAAGAATGGGTGCAATGCCCAACGACAAATGTTGCCCCAAACCAGCAGCGGCCGCTGTTGGGCGGGCGGCCTCCTGCCTCGCATGGACACAGGCCGCGGCGGCGCGGACAGCGAATCCTGTTCAGAATGAACTCGGGGGAAAACAAACCTACCTCGCTTTTGACCACCCTCGCTTCCAAGAGATACCAAACAATGCCAAATTGTGGCCTGTACTGGTCAGGCCGCTTGACGAGGAGGCGCGTGGTATGGCTTGGTTTTGCCTGGAAGCGAAAGCGGGGGAGGTAATTCACGCTCTGATGAACAAGAACTGCTGCTGGGCATTGCACTTGTTCTCTCCGTGCCCACTTCGGGCGTCCAGATCTCTGCCGCCGCCGATGCGCGGGGCGGCACGGCCTGGGGGCGCGCGGCACCGGGGCTGCTGTCCGTGCCGGCCGCGCGTGCGGCGCCGGGGCGCCGCGGCGGGCGCCGCGCGGAGGAGCCCACGGGGCGGCCTCAGGCGGGGCCCTTGCCGGCGGAGCTGGCGCCTGTGGGCGGGCGGCGGGCGGGCGGCAGAGCTGTGGCCCCCCCCCCCCTCCCACGCCTGCGTCTCTCGGCGGGGAGAGTGGGCTCCTCCTCCTCCTCCTGCTCCTGCTCCCGCTCCCGCTCCTGCTCCTGCTCCTGCTCCTGCTCCTGCTCCTGCTCCAGCTCCTGCTCCTGCTCCTGCTCCTGCTCCTCCTCCTCCTCCTCCTCCTCCTCCTCCTCCTCCTCCTCCTCCTCCTCTTCGTTCCTGAGGCATTGAAAATAATTGTCGTCGTAATCGTAGCGGTAGTCGCTGTCGTATTACTAATCCGCTGGCCCCCTTGTAGGGCTACCAGGCTGTAAGCCTAAGGTTCGTAGTTTCCTGTACCAGTTACAGCTTCCAATTTCCACTGTTACAGTTCTGCTTCTTTGCAGCTTCCAATTTCCACTTTTACTGTTCTGCTTCTTGCTGCTTACTGTTCCTTATTGATGGACCGCGCGAGGAGGGAGGCCCCAAACGGGCATTTTTACCACGCCCGAAACGTATGCTCTGAATTGCTGGGGTGGGTAATAATTAACACCCCTGACGCAGATCGGCGGGGTAAGAGTCCAAAAACACATGGGGATTTGCCACATTTCTGACATTCGGTGGCACCCCTCACGCAGATCGGCGGGGTCAGGATCCAAAAACACAGAGGATGTGTTACATTTCTGAAATTTGCTGGCACCCCTCATGCAGATCGGCGGGGTCAGGGTCCAAAAACACATGGGATTTGTTACATTTCTGACATTCGGTGGCACCCCTCACGCAGATCGGCGTGGTCAGGGTCCAAAAACACATAGGATTTGCAACATTTCTGACATTCGGTGGCACCCCTCACGCAGATCGGCGGGGTCAGGGTCCAAAAGCACAAGGGATGTGTTACATTTCTGAAATTCAGTGGCACCCCTCACGCAGATCCGCGGGGCCAGGGTCCAACAACACAGGGGATGCGCCACATTTCTAAAATTCGGTGGCACCCCTCACGCAGATCAGCAGGGTCAGGGTCCAACAACACATGGGATTTGTCACATGTCTGAAAATTCGGCGGCACCCCTCACGCAGATCGGCAGGGTCAGGGTCCAAAAACGCAAGGGATTTGCCACATGTTTGAAAATTCGGCGGCACCCCTCACGCAGATCCGTAGGGTCAAGGTCCACGAAACACAACACCCGTCACGCAGACCCGTAAGGTCAGGGTCGAAAAACAAACAGGTCCCGACACTGCTTCACGGCGGAGCCCAGACCTCATGATTTAGCTTTTGCATCTCTCATTATCCGAGACAGGGGGCCGGCGGGATGGGGCGAAGCCCTTACGAATAATCAGTCGCAGTCGTAGTAGTAGTTGTTGTCGAATTGTGGTCGTCGTCGTCGCCGTCGTCGTCGTCGTCGTCGTCGTTGTCATTGTTGTGCGGCGGGTGCCGCGCAGAAACGCTGGGGTCGAAAATGTCATTCTAGGGGGGCGGGGGGCACGAGCTCGTCAATTCCCCTAGGGCCCCTAGTGCCCACAAAAAGCCCCAAGGCAGCCAAACAGGGCCAAGACAGAGCGCCAAAACTGTCGAAAAGAGCGTCATAACGGCCCAGAGTAGCCCCACGATGTTCCAAGATTGCTTCAAGATGGCCCACGAGGCCTCCAAGAAAGCCCAAAAGCGCCTCCAGAGGAACGCCGAGAGGCCCCCAAGATCGTCCCAAGACGGTCCACGATGCCTCCAAGAAGGCTCCAAGGGGCCCAAGAGGGCCCAAAGACAGCCCGAGGGCCCCCCAAGACGGCCCAAGACAGCCCCTGGAGGGCCCCAAGAGGGCTCCAAGACAGCCCAAGAGGGGGAATACAAACTGATACTTCGAGCCTCATTATCCCGCAAAGATGGCCACTCGAGCCCCCCCAGAGACCCCCGAGGCCCCTCCAAGAGGCCCCGAGAGGCCTCCAAGACGCCCCCAAGAAGCCCCCCCAAGCGGCCCAAAATAGTCGCACAAGAAGCCTCAAGAGGCCCCCAAGAGTCCCAAAAGAGGCCTCCAAACGGTTGGCCCCCAAGACGCTTCAAAACTGCCTCCGAGAGTCTCCACCAGTCGGGTCGGGCGAAAAGGGGGGGATAGCAAAGGGGGGGGTTGAGAATCAGCTCACGTAGCTGATTTTCCCAGCGCCTCCTGGCGCCGGAGGCGGCTATGTATCGAGGAATGGGCCCCTCGGTGAGGCCGAAACCAGCTGCATGCAGCAGATTTCGTAACCCCCCCTTTCCCAATCCCCCCCTTTCGCCCGGCCCGAACCAGGCCCTCAAACAGCTCTCAAGTTGCCCACAAGAGCCCCCACATAGTGTCCAAGCAACCCACGACACCTCAACCGTGGACCGCCCGCCTCTGCTGGGGGTCGGGCGGAATGGCGCAAGCCGCTCCACTAGTGGTGGGACCCCAGTCCGTCAATCAGATCGCCGGAAGGATAACTAGTTTCCAACTGTTGGGGGGGGTTCTATAGGGGGCAAACAAACCTACCTCGCTTTTGACCACCCTCGCTTCCAAGAGATACCAAGCGATGCCAAACTGCGGCCTGTACTGGTCAGGCCGCTTGACGAAGAGGCGCGTGGTATGACTTGGTTTTGCATGGAAGCGAAAGCGGGGTAATTAGGTGATTCACGCTCTGAACTATTGGGGGGGCTTCTAAAGACCAATCGCAGGTCCTACGTATTGTAAGAAACTATCAAATGCGCTGCCGGGGCCAGAACAAGTGGGGGTGGGGTGGCGTGGTCGTGGATTCCCGTAGTATTGCTAATTAGCATTGGCAATCGAAATTTGAATAGTAAGCGCTATCGCTAGCAGTACCAGTGTTAGTATCCGTATTAAGAGTAGTCGCATGATGTGCGTTGTGGAAAACAATAACTTCTTCAAGCCCGCGTCCTCTGACGCGTTCCCCATCCCGCCTCCTCATGTGGGTGGGGTGGGGGCGAGGGTGCAGCGTGTCTGGAGGAGATGTGGCGACTTTCTGAACATAACTTCTTATGGTCGGTGTTCTCTGGTCGAACCTCTTGGCTCAGGCGCTCATGGAATCGCCCGAGGCTTTCTTTATGTGTACGCCTCACAATCCGCGCTCGTGCGTTAGTGCGGTGTCGCGTTGCTCGTCGTGTACGCTGGTCGAGACTCGACTTGCTCAGAGGCGACCATTGAGTTGCAGGTGGTACGTGCCAGAGGTGGGTGACTCGAGAGACGCCGAAGGTTTTCTGCCCGCTCGGACTGTCTCCTGGAGTTCGCGTGAAAGCTGCACCTGCCGATGATGCCCTGGAAGGAAATCGACGATGCGGCGCTGGCCAACCTACCTGGACAGGATGGTCGAGGATGGATGAGGGAGGCGGGCCGCACACGTGCGACTGCGTGGCGAACGGGCTGGCTCTACGTGTGGCTGGTGCCGCCCACGGGGCTGCCACGAGCCCACCGAACACACCACGAGCTTGACATCGCCTCGAATTGTCTGGCGGGGGACCCCCGACTCGAAAGCTGGGCGAAGGCTTGCTAAAACCGTGGCTGCTAAAACGGCCCTCCCGGAAGGAAAAACCAATTTCCCGGAATGAGGCGCGGCAGCGCGAAACAGTCGACAGGCTTCTTCCCGGAAAAGGACGAAGACAACTTCCCGGAGCTCGATTTTAGCAGCCACGGACTTAGCCGCGCTTGCCCGGCTTCCGACCGACAGCCCCGGAGAGAGAGGGGCCGGTGGCGCTGCGCCTCGGGGTGCCCGAGCGAGGCGAGTCCACCAGGGCGGGCGTCGGGCGAGCGGCAGGGCGTCCTGGCTGCGAAGGTGCTGCCGGAGCGCCGTGCAGGTCAGGGGGCTGCCGCAGGGCGCTGAGGCGAGCGAGCGCCAACGTGGGCGTGCATGCAGCCCCACCGGGCGCGGCTCGACACTCGGGGCCCAGCCATGACGCGGCGGCCTGCTACCGGACAGAGCGGGCCATCCAGCGCCGGGGACGCAGGGCATCGGAGAAGAGTGTCCGCAGGCACATGAGGTCACACGCTTCGGTCGCAACGAGGGCAGCAATACCACCCGAGGTGCTGCGACGTGAGACCGATCTGTTGGACAGGCAAGTAGTGCGCCGGGAGAATACGTGTAAGTGAGGGCAGGCATTGCCACGGTTGTGTACTTCGAACCGTGGTGTTTGGGAATCTTCGGTAAATAACTCCAGACGTTTCGGGCTCATGATTGTTTTCCGTGCCAGAGCCCGCCCAGAGCTGAGCAAAAAGAGATGGCGCTATTGGTATCATCTCCGATCGTGTGTCGGGATCTTGTGAAAAAGTGATTGATTTTCTCATGGCTGGCGCCACTTCTCTGCCGCCCCTGCGCTTGGGAGGGGTCTTTCTGGACGGGGAGCCCCTCAATGTGGTGTAGAATACACTGACTTGTTCGGGCCCCCGTCCCCTCACACTTTTCCCATTCCACTTCCTCAAGTGGGCGGGGTGGGGGCGCGGGTGCACAGCGTGTCTAGGAGAGTTGTGGCGAAGTTGTAAGTATAACTGGGTATATGGTGTGTCCTCTGGTCAATTTGTCCCTTCTCTCCCTCCCTCCAGCTTTGCGAACGCTTCCTCGTGTTTCTTCCTCGCTCGTTTCTGCCTCGTCCAGCTGGACTTGGGGATTTGTGCGCAGACCTATCGGGTTCATGATGTTTGTCCGTGTCCGAGCCCGCCCGGATATGACCAAACAAGGATGCCGCTCATGGCATCATCTTCGATCGTGTCGGGAATTGGTGAACACACATGTTTTTCGAAAGGCTGGCGCCACTTCCTCCGCCGCTCCTTCGCCTGGGTGCGGTGTTTCTGGAAATGGAGCCTTGACAATATCAGTTTTGCTGGTGCAAATGCCGTTTGTAATCTTATGAATATGAATATTCGTCATCGTATTAAGCTGTGAGTTCGTGTCAGTCGTAAGCATAACAATAGTCTTATGCATGACAGTGTTACTAGGGTCAGTCACGTTCGAAAGGAACCGCACTGCAACGTACCTGAAGCACGAACACACGCAAAAACACTGTACGTGATCCCAGCCGCCGCGCCGTCGCTCTGCACAGACGTTCATAAAGAACTGTTGGCACTCATGCATCTTGCCCGATGTAGGACGTCACGCGCGCGTGGCTCATCCAGCGCACCGGTTGCGCCTGGCGCGTGTGCGTACCTTGGGCATCCGGCGCACACCCAGCGTGTGGCGCCCCTGGTGTCCGTATTATATTTGCTCCCCATTGTTGTCCCTCGGATGGCTACCGCTGTCTGAGTCTCGGGTGATACCTCTGTGGTGGGAGGGTGGGTGGTATTGCCCTAGAAACCTTTTGACGTTCCAGACGTGCCCTTGACCGTCCCCCCCCGGTGGTTGGCATTAGGGCTCATTAGGGGTATGACTGCCCCCATACGCATGCTAGCTGTCCCGCCGTGGTGCTTCCAAATGCTGCCGGTTCCTCATCAGCCTAAGGCTACGCAAATTCCACGAAGCCCCCATGAGAGCCCCAAGAGGGCGAGGACTCCCAGATGCTCTTAGAGGTCCCCAAATTGATTGAGGCTGCCCAGACTGACCACAGCTTCGATTTTGAACTGACCTGCCGCCGTTTCCGTTCACAGGCAAACCTCCACTTCCCCTCTCACGACAGCTGGCCTACGAAGCGTTGCTGGATCGGCTAGCAGGGATACTTTTTAGTCAGCGGCCGCAGGCGAGAGCGCCAGCGGCGAGTCCAGTCAGAGCGGGGCTAGAAAGGATACTTTTTTGGGGTCGCGGCCGCGAGCGAAGAGCGCAGGCGGCGAACAGGGTGTCTGGGCCGACGGGCAAGCCTACACCGGACTCACTTCTATAGCGCTCACTTCTATAGTGCTCACTTTGAAATTGTGGTCCGGAAGGGGCCGCACATGCAGGCACATGCCGCACAGTCGCATGCACATGCCCATGCAAATATACAAAAGCCTCAACAGCATTGCCGCACATGCGCGCACATGCCACACCGTCCGACGCACAGTCGAATGCACGGTCAAGCAAAACTCTGAAAGCATAGACGCACATGCCCGCACATGCCGCAGAGATGTCGCAGGCGATAGTGGCCTGACCACCTGAGCTCGGGGCATTTCGCAACCCAGAGTTCCGAGGATGTCTCAGGCAAGCGTGGCCGGATCACCATGGGGCAGGGCATCTTGGAAACCAGAGTGGCGAGGATGTCGCTGGTCAAGGTGACCAGACGACCATGGGGCAGGACACCTCCGAGGTCTGAGTTGTGAGGATGTCTCAAGCGAAAGTGGCCTGACCACCATGGGGCAAAAGATCTCTGAGGTCAGAGTTGCGAGGATGTCTCTGGGGAGAGTGGTCTGACCACCTCAGCCCAGGGCATCTCGGAGCCCAGAGTTGCGAGGATGTCTCAGGCAGGACTGGCCTGACCACCTGCTCAGGGCATCTCAGAACCCAGAGTTGCGAGGGTCTCAGGCGAAAAAGGCCGAGACACTATGGAGCAGGGCATCATTGAGGTCAGAGTTGCGAGGATGTCTCAGGCAAAAGTGGCCTGAACAGCTCAACTCAGGGCATCTCGGGCGAGGATGTCTAAAGCGAAAGTGGTCTAACCACCTCAGCTCAGGGCGTCTCGGAACCCAGAGTTCCGAGGATGTCTCAGGCGAAAGGGGCCGAGACACTATCGAGCAGGGCATCATTGAGATCAGGGTTGCGAGGATGTCTCAGGCGACAGTGGCTGACCACCTCAGCTCGGGGCATATCGGAATCGAGACTTGCGAGGATGTCTCAGGCGACCGTGGCCTGACCAGCATGGGGCAGGAGATCTCTGAGGTCAGAGTTGCGAGGATGTCTCAGGCGAAAGTGGTCTAACCACCTCAGCTCAGGGCGTCTCGAAACCCAGAGTCCCGAGGATGTCTCAAGCGAAAGTGGCCGGGCCACCATGGGGCAGGGCATCTCCGAGACCAGAGTTGCGAGGATGTCTCAGGCGAAGGTGGCCAGATCACTCCATGTCAAAGCACGTCGGCCTCCAGATTGCCGACGACGTCTCACGCGGAACTGGCCGGACGCGAACGCGCCGGCGTCCGGAGACGAACGCCGGCCCCGGCATTCTTGCACGTCCCGCACATGCACTGCACAGGTACGCACAGTATTCGCACAGGCCGAGCTCGCCGGTGGCCGAGCCAGGCCAGCGATTCCGAGATTCCCTGAGCTCGGGCCGTCAAGCCACTTTCGCCTGAGACATCCTCGCAACTCTCACCTCCTCCTCCTCCTCCTCCTCCTCCTCCTCCTCCTCCTCCTCCTCCTCCTCCTCCTTCTCCTCTGGCCGAGCCGAACAGGCAGGCGGGCCGGCCGAGCCGGGGGCGCCCGCCTCCTCCGCCCCCCCCTCTTCCCCCCCCTTCCACCTCCCCCCCCCGTCCCTGTTTCTCCGGCCGAGCTGAGAAGGCGCGCGGGAGAATATTTTATTAGGCGGGCGCGCCACCGCCAGCTCACGAACCGGGCGAAGAACCGCCCCCGCCAGCAGCGGGCGAGTCTAAACGCACAACAAACGCTTTCAGGAAACCCTGGCGCGCCCCAGGTTAGCTCTGCGAAGGCCAGGAAGCATTGGAGGCACAGGGGTCCCAGACAGCTCCTAGGGCATGAGCGTGCATGTGCATTGGGATGTGCACGCATGTGCGCCCGCGCGCTTCACCGCATGTGCGTGCATGTGCGGGCCCGCGCGGCCTCCCGAAGAGAGGTTGCACAGGCATGTGCGTGCATGTGCCGATGACAGATCTGCGATTCTCGAACACCTCCCGCATGTGCAGGCATGTGCGCGCATGTGCGTCGGACTGTGCGTGCATGTGCGTATGATGGATACATCAAAACACAGCGCACATGCCCCCGCACATGCCCGGGCACGACGTGCACAGTAGGAAGTCCATCCAAGAAGGACCGCACAGGCCTGGCACATGACTGGCACATGCCGCGCACATGCGCGCACATGACAGCGCAAAAACGGCCGCACATACACCCACCCAGGGGTATAGATGTGAGTGCGGTGTAATTAGCTACTGGGCGCGACACAAGCCGGCCGGGCAGCTATCAGGGATACTTTTTTTGGTCGGCGGCTCCGAGACTGCGGTCAGGGAGCGGAAGGCGTCGTCTGGGCCAGCAGGCGAGGCTAATTAGCTACAACAGGCAACGCACCTGGAGTAATAAGACGCAGATCTAGCAGGGGTACGCGAAGCGTCAAAACTGACAATATGCACGAATGCTGTATTGATTTAACGGCGAGAGGACGCCTCGGGGACCTCTTGGGCGGTCTCCCGGAGGATGGTTCGAAACATCTGATTCAATTCCTGAAGCGCTTCAAGCTGTTGTGCGATTGCGATGCTCTCGGCTGTCCAATCTAAACCCTGGGGCCCCCAAGGAGGGCCCCCGAGATCGCCAGGAGGTGTCCGAAGAACTCCTAAAAAACCAGGGTTGCAAAAACCCCGGTGTTTTTTTGCAATCCAGGTTTTTTTTTTTTTGCAATCCAGGGTTTTTTTTTGCAATCCAGGGTTTTGTTTGCAATCCTTCGTTTTTGCAATCCTTCGAACTCCTGAGAGAGGTCCGTGGAGGCCCCCGAAGACCCCGGAGGTGCCCTCGAGAGGCCCCGAGCCTCCCCAGAGGCTCCAGCAAGAGCCCCTCGGAGGACCGCTCTCCGTGACCGAAACGCCGCAGCAGTGGCGAGCGGGGGCTGCCCTGCCCAGTGCGCGACGCTGCCCGCGGCGCACGCCGAAAAACGCTCTAAAAGTTCGACTTAGGTCGGGCGTGTCCCCCTAGAGGGGGAGCTTCGACGAAAACTAAGAAACACCCCAAAAAAGTAATAAAACAATAGTCCAAAAATAGCCTGGGGACTATTTTGTAAGTATTGTTTTACCTTTTTGGGGGTATTTTGGGGGTAGTTTTAATTTGTCGTCGGTCGAAAATCGCCTGTAGGGCAAACGCCCGACGTAAAGTTAGACGCGCGCGGCGCCGTGTCCCGCCCTCCCCCTGCCTGCCTCCTCCCTCTGTGCCGTGCCTGCTGCTTCCCGCCCCCCTGCCTCTCTCTCCCCCCCGTCCCTCTTTGTCCCTTCTCTCGGGCCGGGCGAAAGGGGGGGATAGCAAAGGGGGGGTTTGAGAATCAGCTCACGTAGCTGATTTTCCCGGCGCCTCCCGGCGCTGGAGGCGGCTATGTACCGAGGAATGGACCCCTCGGTGGGGCCGGAACCAGCTGCATGTAGCAGATTTCGTACCCCCCCCTTTCCCAATCCCCCCCTTTCGTCCGACCCGATTCTCTCCTGCACGCATCTGGACTCCCTGCCCTTTTGGATGGCAACAGCGTGCGGAGCACCTTGGCGCAGCATCTCCTGCTGCTGCTGCTTCATCGCCGCCTCGATGGCAGCGATGCGAGCCTCCGAAAAGAGGGTTACGAATTGCAGAAGAGGTCGCCGGCCGTGTGACTGCATCGCGGCGGGTGTGGATGACCGACAGGGCGTTCCAGAATTGGGGAGCGAGTACGCAATGAATAGCGTGTGTTGGGTTCGGCCACGCAGGCATCGAATCGGGCTCACATACCAAACCTGAAATGAGTCAAACCTGATCGGACAATAACGGGATGCGCCACTGTTGTCCTTTGGGCTCGCAGGGGGAAAAGAAGAAAAGGATGATGGCGACGACAAGGCAGCGGATGACGAGGATGACAGTGTGGATGACGGGGCAGGCAGCGAGGGTAGCAGGAGGGTAACGAGTAGGAAGACAAGCACAACGACAAGGAGGTCAGGATGGAAGAGGGAGAAACCGTACGAGGAGGAACAAAGCGGAGGATGCGGACGAGGAGAAGAAGAAGGAAGAGGAAGACGACCATCTCGAGCCTTTCCCGACGTGATGACCGCCAGCGACCCCGAGGCGACCCCAAGAGGCCTCAAGGGGCGTCCAGGAGGCACCCAATAGGCCCCCACGAGGCCCCCCAAAGCCAATCAGATGCCCACTAGAACCCTCCAAGAGGCCCCTGAGAAGCATTCCAGACAACCCTCATATGCATCGCCGAGGCTCCTGACCCGCCGGACAGGCGTGGTTGCACGACTTTTGACGAATCCACTGTTATGGGGGTCGGCGGGATGGCGTCTGGAATAAAATTTGCCTGCAGAATACCTGCTGGCCCACGGGGCTGTGGCTTGCACGGGTCAATACGTCAATGTTTGGCACGAGTGAACCAATTTTGGGCGGGCACAAACGGACTGCCTGACACAACCGTTCTGAAATCCGTCCAGCAGCCGCAGCTGCGACTTAGTCAAGCACGACCCAGACGAACCATACAAGAAATTTTGATTCACAATGGAACTATAGATATGCAATTTCCTCTGCCAAATTTAAAACATGCAACCGTACTTTCCGCAATGTTGCAACATTCCGCTTGGCCTCTCAAATTGTCCTGCAAAATTCGTGCCCGATTTCTGCATCTGCCGAAAATTGTGCGCCGAAAGATCGCGGAACAACCAAGAAAACGAGTGTGCCACAACCGTGTCTCCTCGGGGCCTCTTGGGGATCCCCGGGACCCCCTTCGGGCCTACTTGGACCGTCGATGGAGCCTGTTGGGTCGTCTTGTGGACGTCCTGAGTCGCCTATGACTGTCTTCGATGGTTGCGTGGGACCTCGTCAGGTCAACTTGGGCTCCCTCGGGGCGCCCACGAGAAAGCGGTCCGTCGCAGCGCAAGTGGCAGATCCCAGTGTTCAATCTGCAGCGGAACTGTCTGTCTTTAGCTTCAAGCTGAAGGAGACAGGCAAGACTCCTGTGGCTTCCGTCGTACCTAAGGACCGAATCCCAGCAACGGTTTTGAGTACCCCGAAGTGTGTCGAAACAACGTCGAACGAACATCGCCTCCCAGAGCCCGACGCGTGAGAGCACTCCCGCCTCGGCCCTTTCTTGGCGCTCGAAGTGCTGTCTGGTGGCTCAGGCCAAAGCAGGCTGGAACCTCACAGAGCGAGGTCACCACTTGTTGAGCAGGGACCGACCGTCCCGGTGCTCCTATAGTCATACCACGACATGCTCTTAGAACCCAACAGTGTTCTAAGAACAAAAACAATGGTCTTAGAACATGAACCCGATGTAAAAAAACAAGACCGTCACAGCCAGAAATGTTCTAAGAACATGTCGTGGGAACCACAACAGGTTCTTAGAACATTGTTTGGTGGGGCTATAGGCGAACCAGGACGCTTCGCCACTGCTTGAACTTGCTCAGGCGCCTGTGCAGCGAGGCCGTGGAGGCCCTGGCGATTGCGACCCCCTGCATCGTGGGGGCCTCCACCGGCACGCGGCGGCGCTCCCTGGCAGCGCGGGGCCTCCTTCGACCCGTGCCCCAAAACTCCAGGCGGGCCCAGGATCGAATCGAGAAGTCGGATCGGCGATCGAGGTGAATCGGGTCGGCGGATATTGGCAGCCGAGTCGGGAACAAAACGCGTCGGCGGAGATCGGCTGGCGAGCAGGCATCCGTGAAGAGATCGGAGCCCCGAATCGAAATCCCAAGGCGAACCGAATCGGAATCGGAATCCATCGGAATCGAGTCGGAGCGGAGGCATCGAGACGAGCCACCACGCAGGACCCGCCGCCGTGCTCAGTGCTCCCTGGCACGCGGAGGCGTGGCAGAATTGCCAATGTGCTGCCTGGCAGGGCTCCTGCAGCCTTCTTGGGGAAACCAAAAGGTACCGATGCCGCGACTCCCAGGACCTCTCCTGGGGTGCGTTCCCGACCAGGCTTTCGAGGCGAATCCAGCGGCGGCGGCGACGGAGGCCCAGGAGGCCCCCAAAAGGGGAACTCGAGGGCGGGGGGGGGTAGAGGTAGGGGTACCTTTCCCTCCTCTGACTTCTGAAGGCCCCCCCCCGGCTCTGCTCGCACACCCTCCCCATGCACGGGCCTCCCCATGGCGGCCCGACGCCTCCCCCGGCGCAGTGTGGCTGCCAATGCGACCCAGGCAGGCAGCCAAGGCCGCCCACCTGGCCCAAGATGCCTCCAACACGGCCGATTATGGCCCCCAAGACGGCCCAGTATGGCCTCAGGACGGCTCAGGATGGCCTCGAGACGGCAACAACAAGGGCCACAAGAGAACCTTCAACAGGTGCAAGAATCAGTGATGGTGCAGTTGTGTTATATCGGTGTTCGCATTCTCAGCTTTGCGGGCTTCCACCAGATCAAGACGGCACAAGAAGCCTCCAGGATGGCCTCAGGGCTTCCCACGAAGGCCTCAAGATGGCATCAGGACGGCCAGGCGGGTCACAAGTCGGCTCAAGGGAGCCCTCCGACGCCCGTCCAGGGACCCAGAGAGCCCTCCAAGACGGCCTGCGAAGGCGCCCAGATGTCGCAAGTCCGCCATCAGACGGCCCAAGCAGCGCCCAAAGAGACTCCGAAGTACCTCCAAGATGCTGCCCAGAGCGCCCAAAAGGGCCCCCGACGGGTCGCCCGGGCATCCGAGAGGCCCGAGGTGTCTCGCGCGTGCTCGGCCTCGCGTGCCCCTTCGAATAGCCGCAACCCAGAATGCCATGTACCCAAGATTTCGTAAGAAAGGGAGGGGGGCCTCATTTCGGGGGGGGTCTCTTCCAGGCTATCTTGGAGGGCCTGGGGGGTCTGGGGGCGATGTTTTGGAGGGTTCTCCCACGGGGGAGGTCTGAAATGGCTTGTCTTGGAGGGTCCAGACCCCCTCCCTTTTATTACGAAATCTGGAGTACGTGGGCACGGTGGTAGAAATACCAGAAGCAGATGGCTATCGCCTTGGTCAAGCACTCGCACACGCCGGGAGCCAGGAGGGGAGGGCGGGAGGGGAGGAATGGAAGATGGGAGGGAGGCCAGCAGAGGAACACGGAGGAGGGATAAAGAAAGGGTGACGAGGGGAATGGAAGGGAAGCGGACAATCCATTACGTCCGAAAGGCATACAGTGCAAATATCATGTAATGCAATGCGGAACTAACTTCAAAATGAAAGTGTGTTACCATCAAATCCGGTGCCGTTGGGCAACCAGCTGAGGAACACTGTACCTGGTCCGATCCATAACATGTTCCTGATTTCGACGCCACGACTGCACCGCGCAGCGGAAACGCCTGGCCGTCCCCAGAATCGAATAACCCGATTCGGGTGCATGACCGCGCCCTCCAGTTCTCGAAGCAACCCAAACATACACCCTGGCATGCGATGGGCCTGGGACGTGTCCCGAGAGGCACGTTTGGCGGCGCGCCAAAGGGGGGTAGGGGGAGGGGGGAAGGCTTCTTAAAGCACCCTGCTTCTTAGAAGGCCTCGGCCTTACGTCTATAGAGAAGGCCCGCGCCTTCTAAGAAGCAGGGGTGCTTCTAAGAAGCCTTCCCCCCCCCCCTACCCCCCTTTTGAAGGGGCCCCAGGACACACAAATAAATACACACAAATAAAAATATCCCCCATATTTTCCCATATTTTCTGGGTTTCTGTCTTCCCCCCCACTTCCCATATTTTCCTATATTTTCTGGGGGATCAAGGATTAATTGTGTCTGTGTGTTTTTTCTCCCCTCCTGACCTTTGCGCGTTGCCGAAACGTGGGACCAGGGAGGGGCAAGACAACCCGGGACGGTGCCGAGACGACGCACGTGGCCCCACGAGGCGCAGCGCCGCGGGCTCCGGGGAGCTCGATGCACCGACAATCACTCGAGGATGCGTTCTGCTCCCCTGAAGGGGCTCGGGGACACACAAATAAATACACACCAATGACAGGAGTCCCCCCCATTTCCCCGCATTTTCTGGGTTTCGGTCTTCCCGCTCACTTCCCATATTTTGCCATATTTTCTGGGACATCGAGGATTCGTTGTGTCTGTGTGTTTCTTTTCCTCCTGATCCCCAGCCTGTCCGTCCCAACATTCCCGCATGACAAGATCGGGTCGGGCGAAAGGGGGGGATAGCAAAGGGGGGGTTTGAGAATCGGCTCACGTAGCTGATTTTCCCGGCGCCTCCCAGCGCCAGAGGCGGCTATGTACCGAGGAATGGGACCCTCGGTGGGGCCGAAACCAGCTGCATGCAGCAAATTTTGTACCCCCCCCTTTCCCAATCCCCCCCTTTCGTCCGGCTCGACAAGAAGGCCCCAGACTGGCCCAACAAAGTCCAGAGGCGGCCAACGCAGCCAGCGCCCTCGCTCTCACTCGCAGACTGCTGCAATGCCCTCGCTCTCGCTCTCGCTCTCCCTCTCCCCCTGCCCCTCCGCCTCTCCCTCTCCCCCTCCTTTATCTGTCTCTCTCGCTGTCTCCACGGTCTCCACCTCATCTTCCTCATCATCCTCCTCGTCGTCCTCCTCCTCCTCCTCCGACTTCTCCCCGCCTCCCCCCCTGTTCCTGCCCATTTGCCCTCGACTGCCCATCGACCGCCCTCCCCCTGAGAAGCACATCGGCCTGGCCTCTTTCCCTCCGGCGCACTTGGCCAAGCCGGTCAGGCCCACGGTGATCCGCCCGTTGACGGACACCTGGCGCGGCGCAGAGCGGGGCCGCGCTCGGCGAGAGAGAACGGGGTGCTGGAGAGTCCGCGGCGTCCTCATCAGCCTTCTCCTCGCAACCCCCCGACTTCCCACTGCTGTTGCTGCTCGCTCCGTCTGCATGGGCTACTCTATGGGATGCTGGCGTCCAGACCTCCAGAACTTCGGGAAGTTCGACTTCGCTCCCTGGAGGGGCGTGTGGGCCTAGTGCTGCACACGCTGTTGCACTACGAGCCGCTGAGCGGGGCGGCGGAGTGATCGGCCATGAGGCAGGACCGCCGTTTCGGCGTCGCTCTGTCCATCTGTCACTCTCGACCCTGCTCCTGCCTAGTGATTCGGTGACGTTGCGCTCAACCTCGTGGCCCTGCTCGGCCCGTCATCTCCTTCTCAAGCCAAAGGCAAAGTCTGGCGTCATGGGGTCGAGCTTGGCAAGGGATGACTCTTCGTCGGATTCTTTGATCTCTGACTACATATTGTGGCGCGCAAAAACTATTGAATTGATCTGCAAATATCTGACAAGTTGAGGCGGGTACACGAAATCCCCCACCTCTTCGGCGTGTTTGGAGCGCTTTTCCGTTTGAGTCGTCGTTGTCGTCGTCGTCGCCAGTCTCAAGGGACTTGAGAAACAAGGCTTTGGAACGGCGTGGTCAAGTCGAAGGGAGGCCTCTGCCCTCTGTCCCTTCCCTGCCTGGGGGTGGGGAGCGGCCAAGAGGGGGGGGTCTAAGAGAGGGGGGTGCAAATCATGACCGGCGGTATGTGCGCGGCCCAGCGGGGGGGCCAGGGGCGTGATGAAATAAGAAGAGGCGCCATGAAATCTGGGGAAATATCATGGCCCACGCCATGATATCCCACCCCCCCCTAGTCCTCACCCCCCTCTTTTGTGCCCCCGACGGTGGGGAGCTGGGGGGGGGGGGTCCCGGGTCAGAACACCGCCCCGCCCGGTCCAGGCGGGTTCTGGGGGGGGGGGGGGGTCGCCAGCGGGGGTCCCGGGGGAGGTCCCGCCCTCAGGGCCGACGGCACCGGTCACAGGGCCTTGGCAATAGGAAACCGCCCGAGCACGTGCCTGAGCTGTCCGCCGAACGCACCCCCTGTCAACAGGAGAAGAGACCATCTCGAGCACTCGATATTCTGAGAAATTCTCGTCCAGATGCGGAAGATGCTAACCGCTGGACCCCAAACCGAACCGAGGAGGAGGGAGAGGAGGAGGAGGGGGAGGGGGAGGAGGAGGAGGAGGAGGAGGAGGGAGGAGGAGGAGGAGGAGGAGGAGGAGGAGGAGGGGAGGAGAGGAGGAGGGGAGGAGGGAGGAGGGAGGAGGGGGAGGAGGAGGGAGGAGGGGGGAGGGAGGAGGAGGAGGGGGGAAGAGGGGGGAAGAGGAGGGGGAAGGAGGGGGGGAGGAGGCCAAAGAACAGTAGAGGAGACCATGGGAGGCCACACGCCGACCCTGGGACACTGGACAAACTGGGGCGGACTGCCAAAAAAAGGGGAAGCCACAGGAGGCTAGGCCACCCGAGGCCCACTGGAGGCCACGCAACGTCGTCGGCACTGTCAGGAGGGGAAAAAACACACGGACACAATTAATCGGCGATTCCCAGAAAATATGGGAAACTATGGGAAGTGGGGGGGAGACAGAAACCCAGAACATCTGGGAACATATGGGGGATATGTTTATTTGTGTGTATCTATTTGTCTGTCCCAGTTCCCCTTCACACTGGGGCCAGAGCCAATGGGACAGGAAGCCACGGGGAACCCAGGCAACAGGATGACGTAGGAGTCCTCGCAGAAAAGGCAGGCCCTGGTGAAGAAGCCCGGTGCGGCTGGAAGCCATAGGAAAGCTTCAGGGAGGCCAAACTCTAGGATGTCACCTGGGGATAAGGCCAGTGGGGCGTGAGGCTACATGGAAGCCATGCGAGAGGACGCACCACCAACGGCCGTTCCCTGGGGACATGGTCAGTCCCTTACAGCGCAGGCACGAACCCCTACAGGTATGATATTTTCAGGTGGTACCAGACATACACACTAGCACAGCGTGCTTGTCGATTGTTGCGAACTTGCTGTACTGAACCACACTCGTCAAGGGATGCCAACTGTGATGTGTTCAAATCTTCGTGGCGCGAACGTTCAATCTAGTTCACCACGTGTCCATATAGACTGCACTTGGGCCTCCAATGTACGGTGCGGATCCCCCAGGGCAAACCGCATAAACGCGCCAGCGAGCCCCCTAGGGCGCTGAGTGGAGTGTCCTCAAGTCCCTCCGAGCTCTCTGAGTTGAAGACCGAGGTGTCCTTCTTTCAGGGGCGCAGACCTGGGATTCCCGAACTCTCTGGCGCTCTTGTGCGCTTCGTGGGCTTGGCTCGCGACATTCCACAAGCATCTGGAGCGTTTTCCCGAATCCAAATTTCCAACATGTCCCGGGATGGCTCCAGATGGCCGACCTGTTCCGCTGAAGCCTTTCCTCCAATATAAACATCAGCGATACCCAAGATGCCCCCAAGAGGGCTGAATGGCCTCCAGGAGTCCAGAGGCGCTCCAGGGGCGGATGCTGCCAGAGGTGAACCTGGCGCCAAAGGCACTCCCAGCTTTCAGAGCTACAGTCGGCCCCCATCGTAAGGATGCGCGATAAGGATGCAAAGGCCTTGGACGCACATCTCGAAGCTTTTCGAGCCGGGCGCGGCCAACGAAAGTGGCAAAGGATAGGCCGAGGAGGGAAGGACGCAAGGGTACGACAGGTTCGCGTCGTGTCGATCCCGGCGGTGGTTCCTGACAAATAAAACGATTCCCCATATGTTCCTATATTTTCTGGGTTTCTAGCTTCCCCCCACCTCCCATATGTTTCCATATTTTCTGAGGAATCGAGGATGAATTGTGTCTGTGTTTTTTTCCCTCCTGATCAACCTTAAACGCCCGCTCTGCGGTCGCCGCGAACTTGCCGTATCCTTGGGAAGGGTGCCCATCCTTACCATGCGGGCTGACCGTGTTTCGGAGCCCCAGGGGCCCTCCGGGCCTCGGGAGGGAGCGCGCCTTGGAGGCCACGGCAACACCTGCAGACAACCGAGGCCCCAAGGGCCTCTGAGCCTCCCGGCGGCGAGCCCGGGGGGAACGCGAGGAGGAGAAGGCCTTCTCTATGAAAGCAAACAATGACATAAACATAACAACTCGGAGGTCCGCGCGGGTTTCTCGGATCCGCGCTGGAGCCCCCTGGCGGCGCCTCCGGCGCCGCCCCTTGCGCGCTCCGAGCGCCAGGGAGGGGGGGTCCAGCGCCGGTCCGAGAACTCCGCGCCGACCTCTGAGTTTTTCAGTTTGATGCCATTGTTTGTCCCCCCCCCTCTCGGAAAACTGGGAAGCCCCCCCCCCGGCCTTCTGATGAGAAGTTGCCTGCGCCTCCCCCGAAGAAGCAGGCCGACTTCTCAGCGAAGGCGCCGGGGGCCTCTTCTCCTTCCCGCCCCCCCTCTCGGAAAACTGGGAAGCCCCCCGGCCTTCTGATGAGAAGCTGCCTGCGCCTCCCCCGAAGAAGCAGGCCGACCTCTCAGCGAAGGCGCCGGGGGCCTCTTCCCTTTCCCGCGCCCCCCCGCGCTTGCCGCCGCTCCGCGCGGAGAGCGGTGGCGGGCGGCGGGGGGCGGGGGCCGCAGGCCGCCGGGAGAAAGCCGGGAGGAGGGCGGACGCCTCGGCGCCCCAGTCGGGGATCTCCGGACCCGGGCCAATCCAGAGCAGCCCAAGAGCGCCTCATGAAGGCAGCTTGGTGACCCTGGGGGGGGGGGGAGACTGGACATGAAGGGGCCCCAGGACACACAAATAAATACACACAAATAAGAAGATGCCCCATATTTTCCCATATTTTCTATGTTTTTGTCTTCCCGCCCAATTCCCATATTTTCCCATATTTTCGGGGGAATCGACGATTAATTGTGTCTGTGTGTTTTTTCCCCTCCTGAGGACAGGAAACCCGAGACGACGCAAGACTTTCTGACCCGGGTCAGTCCAGGCCCGGGCCAGTCGGGCCTTGCAGGATCCCGCAGGCTCCTGCCCCCAAGCCCGGGTCGGAGCGCAGGATCCCGCAGGATGCTGCGCCCACACCCGGGTCAGTGCGACCCTGGCCCTGCAGGATCCTGCAAGATCCGGCGCTCTGGCTGACCCCCGCAGGGGGAAGGGGAGGGGGAGGGGGAGGAGGGGAGGGGGAGGGGGAGGGGGAGGAGGGGGAGGAGGAGGAGGAGGGGGAGGAGGAGGAGGAGGAGGAGGAGGAGGAGGAGGAGGAGGAGGAGGAGGAGGAGGAGAGGAGGAGGAGGAGGAGGGGGAGGAGGAGGAGGGGGAGGGGGAGGAGGAGGAGGAGGGGGAGGGGGAGGAGGAGGAGGAGGAGGAGGAGGAGGAGGAGCGTCTCAAGGCTCCCGACCCAGGCCCTCCCCCCTCCCCCGGCGTGCGGGGGGGCGCGCGCGGGCCGGCGGCGCCTGGAGGGACGGCCGGGGGCCGTCCTGGCGCCGGGCGGGGGCCGAGGACGGGGCATAGCAGGATCAGGCAAAGACACTCTCTTGGCACATCACCAGGCAGAGGCAGCATAATCTTCACCGATCTTATACGTGTTTTGCGGATTCCTTTTGACAGGGATATGATTTACGCAATATCTAGAAGGATCAGACAAGGACAACCTCTTGGCACATCACCAGGCAGAGGCAACATATGTTCACCGATCTTGTACGTGTGTTGCGAACTCCTTTTGACAGCGATAGGATTTACGCAATATCTATAAAGGTGCTTGCTGGCTAGAACATCGGGGATGGACAGACCCCCTCTTAGTAAAACGTGGTTTAGTGAAAACGACCTCGGGCACGAACCTGGCGGGCGCAATCCTGGAAAACGACGGCCGCGGCGCCCTCTGGAGAACCGAAAACGGACAATCCATTAATCGACGTGTCAGGGTAGGAGGTCTGTCCACCCCCGATAGTTGTGCCTGCTGACTATGGAAGCATGGGGCCGAGCAGGCCCAGGCACCCGGGCGCCCGGAGAGAGAATTCGAGGCTGCTGCCCCTCGCCGTCGCTCGGGCGGCCGTTCCCCGTGCAGCTCTCGGCGCCGTGCGTGGCTTTTTTCTTGTGCTGCTCGACGATCCAGGGTGCTCCTCGAGGGCCCTCGCCGAGCAAAGCTGCACACTGAAGGGGCCCTAGGACACACAAATGAATGCACGCAATTAAAAGGACTCCTTATATTTTCTCTTATTTTCTGGCTTTCTGTCTTGCCCCCCACTCCCCATATTTTCCCATCTTTTCCTGGGGATCGACGATTCATCGTGTCTGTGTGTTTTTTCTCTGCTCCTGATGTTGTTGCTCGACGACCCAGGGTGCTCCTCGAGGGCCCTCGCCGCACAAAAATGGCCCACGCCCGGGCGATGCCAAGGCCAGTGCGTGCTTGTTTTTTTTGTGGGGGCCTCGGGAGGCCGGCGTCGGGCCGCGTGGCTGCCAGACATCGGGGGCGCGCAGACATGGACTGGCGATCCATGGCCGGGGCGCGCGGTCGCCAAAGCTTAGGAGAGACAAAAGTACCACTACCACCAGCTAGAGGGGTGGCCGCTCCCTCCCCTCGAGCTGGTGGCACCTCCTTCCAGGAACTCTCTGGAGGCATGCCCGGCACGAGGTGCCACTAGCTCGAGAGCGTGGGACAGCCGACCCCCTAGCTGGTGGTAGTGGCACTCTCGTCTCCGGTGACAAGCCATGGTTCGGGGGGGGGCCGCCCCAAAATGCGGCCGGTGCCGCCTCGCTCGGCGGCGGCAGTGCGTGATTTCCCATGGAAAAGGGACCTGTCGCTAATCCACGCCCCATTAATCCATGTTTGGCAAGGACGCCATGCCCCCACGAGTGAGGGCGACGATCACAGGCGCTGGTCAGAAGGGCGGGGAAGCAGTGGAACCGAGGCGAGTCGGACTAAAGCCTTCCAACAGTGCAACTCTTGGCTTCGAGACCAATCGTCTGTGTCACGAGCTCCCCTGTCGGGTGTGGCCCGGCTATGTGCCACACCTCACGCTGCATCGAGGGTGGCGGGGAAGGAGAGGAGGAACAGGAAACAGGAGCGGAACGAGAAGGGGGCTGACGATGCAGGCGTTCTGGCGAATGCGGCGAGGAAGATTCAGTGCTGGCTGGACGCGACAACGCAGAGACGACCAAACGCAAGAGCACGGCTGGGTCGCCCCCGTGCAGGGCACTGCGACGAAACCATTCAAGATGCGAAAGAGGCAGTAAGTGGACGAAGGGGTTCCCCCACAAAACCAAAGTCTTGAAACAATGGGCGTGCGCAGCCAGGTCGAGGAAACCTGTGCCTGGACGACCTGAAGCTGCAAAACCACCTCGAGAGCAGCAGAAATGGAGCGCTCCTCTCCTTCGCTGTGCGCCTTTGCATGTTCAGGTCTGTGCAAAAGAGAGAAAGCCTCTGAAACACGCATGTCGGCGAGGACCTTCGTACGGAACCGAACTCTAGACACCGGCGCTTCTTCGGGCACCTCACTGACATTCGAACAGGAAAGCGAATACTGGTGTATACAGGATCGTGGTGCACACATGTTTCTCTGGCTCCTGGGAAAAGAAAAATAGGAACCACACCGTCCCGACCTCGTCCCCGATCCTGAGAAAGTCCTGGGATTGAAAAACAAAAACAGCCCGCCACTGGTAATGTACACGTTCCATTTTCCGACTTCGGTTGCAAGGTTGGACGCCCGAGTTATCCAGGGTAACTCGGGTCCGGGGTAACTCGGGTTTGGGTTCCCGAATAACGAACCCGAGTTAGCCCTGACCCGACTTACCCCTGATGACTTTGGGGGCTCTGGACGCCCGAATCATCTGGGGTAGCTCGGGTCCGGGATAAATCGGGCTCGGAATCCCGAACAGCGAACCCGAGTTAGCCCTGACCCGAGTCACCCCTGATGATTCGGGGGCTCTGACAGGGGGACGTGGGCCGTGAGGCGCCTCCCGGAAGGCGGCGGCGCGCCGGCCCGCGGAGCGAGAGGGACCGCCGCTTCTGGGGCCCGGGCCGCTCCCTCTGCCTCCTGCCCCTCTCGCGACAGGGGAGAGGTCGACCCCTTTCCCAGGCTTCGCGGGGTGTTTCTCGAGTGGTCCCCCCAAAAAATTGGGGCCCAACCCTGGGAGATACGATGGGGGGAGTCCATCCTCGGCAGGGGTGCGTCCGAATAGCCTCCTGGGGGTGTATCCCACCCCTTCCCTCCTTGTCTCAGCCGCTTGATCCTTCGTCGAACAGTCGGGGGTTGGGATGGAAGCATCGCGTGCGATACTCCTCCTTGTTCCTGGCTCCTGTCTCCTGACGAACCAACAACACACACCCATACCCATAGGGGGATCGGAGAGGGCTATGGGTGCGTGTTGTCGGATGGGGGTCCCCGCTCGAACGGGAGCGTTCCCCAGGGTCCGACGACCCGCACCCATACCCATAGCCAGTCCTCCTCCCAACGACCTCCCTATGGGTATGGGCGTGTGTTGTTCGTTCGTCATCTTCCCCCCTGACCCCACCCGGCCTTGGAGCGCGGTGCCAACGGCAGTCGGGCCGGAGGCTCGCCCGGAGCTGACCCATGACGTCGTCCCCAGGGGACGAGAGAGGAGAGGGCCAGCTTGCCATCTCTCGGACGTCCATTCCCTGTGCTTTTTTCGGTTTCGTGCGTGTTTTTTTTCGCCAAAAAAGATCAAGGATGCTCCTCGATGGCCCTCGCCGAAGGGAAAATGCACACGTCCGAGCGATGCCAGGGGGGAGGGCAGAGATCGGCCACACGCCAGGGCCGCCGCGGGCAAGAGTGGCCTCTGGTGCCTGGCTTCAGGCGGCCGCGGGGGCGAGAAAGCATCTGAAGGGGACCTGGGACACACAAAGAAAGAGACACAAATAACAGGATTCCCAATATTTTCCGTATATTTTATTGGTTTTTATCTTCCCCCCCACTTCCCATAGTTTCCCATATTTTCTTGGGAATTGACGATGAATTGTGTCTGTGTGTTTTTTCCCCTCCTGGACGTCATGCGGGAACATGTGGGCCCGCACCCGAAGGCCACTCGAGCGCGAAGTGTCACCCTGGCGCCTAGTCCGACGGGGAAGTACCAAAGGGCACAAGCGAGGCGAAGAGAGGATGGTGCGTTGGCAACTCATGGGAGCCTCCCATCTGATCTTTTCGGCTCTTGCGAGTCGACGCTATTCGACGCTGGTCTACGCTAATCGACGCTAAATCGACGCCAACCGACTCGACATCGGCACAATCTCATCGACTCCAAGACGCGAATCGGCGCGAAGAATGGAATTAGGTGGGTCTACCAAACTCCCACGATTTGCGAACGACGGATGGGATCCCCCACGAGCCCGAGAGCTAACAGGAGGTTATCTTGCATCCTCGGGGGACCTTGTCTGTCCCGTCGCGGCCTTATCCGCGTCGAATCCGTGACGAATCCATGTCGGACTCGTCGGATCCGTGTCGAATCCGTGTCGAATCCGCGTCGAATCCACGCCAAATCCTCGTCGAGTCCGCATCGAGCCCGTGTCGGGTACAAGAAAAGAAGCAAATTTTGGGGACAGGCCAGGTCCCCCGAAGATGCAACGTAAAGGAGGGTCCTTGGCATCGCCCATGTGCCCGCCCATGTTGGCGAGCAGGGCCGCCCTGGCCTTCTCGCCGCCGACCAGGGACTTGGCCTCTCGCCGGTCCAGCGTGGCGCGCGCAGGCCTGTCCTCAGCGCGCGCGCCGCCGCGAAGATGGGCTAATGGAATCCTGGCCCAAACCCAGATTAAATCTGGTGCGAGTATTACAATCAACAAAATACCTCGCCATCGCTCGGACGTCCATTCCCTGTGTTTTTTCGGTTTACACGTCCGAGCGATGCCAGGAAATTAAATCTGGTGCGAGGATTACAATCAACACAACACGAGAAAGACTCTTGACGAGCATGCAGGGGACTTGGAAAGCCGGTCATGCTGGCAAGAACTTCATGCATGGAGGGTGAGCCGTTTTCATCAGGCGGATCTTGCTTCGACGCTGCGCAGATGCGTGTTCAAATGTTGCGGGCGGTTTACGGATGAAGACGGGCCTTCAGACAGCAGCTCTCGCCTGACAAGCGCACACATTCGCGGATGGAGGGCGGCTCCGTTGCAAAAACATGTGGCTCTCGCCTTATTCGCGCCACGCTACCTCGTTGTAAAGTTTGCGAGCAATTCATGGATGGAGGGGGGTTCCTTATCAAATTTGGTGTTCGCCTTAGCGACTCGCACTTTCGTAGTTCTGTCGGCAACAATACCAAGGATTCTTATGGCAGACGTCGCAACAATGGTGCCCCTACACGATGTAAAATTCTTAGGCGCAACGGTCAAAATGATTCGCGGTGTTGAAGTCCAAGTAACGGTCAGGACGCAACAATTCGGGACGTCAGGACGCAGTAGTAACTTCAACTCGCTGCGTTGCAGTCCAAGGAATGGTGTTGAGGTGCGATTGAGGATTCTCAGTCCGTTGCCTTCCAACGGGGCAACTCCTGCATTGAACAAACATGTTGTGGAGACCTGAAGAAGAGGGAACTTGGGAGGAGGGTTTATCTCAACATCGTTGGCGCGTATTGGGTTTACAGTCGTTATCCTCCTCCTCCTCCTCCTCCTACTACTACTACTACTACTACTACTACTACTACTACTACTACGACGACTATTATTATTGCTCCTCCTCCTCCTCCTTCTACTCCTTCTCCTCCTCCTCCTCCTCCTATCCCTCTCCATCTCCCTCCCCCTCTCCCTCTCCATCCTCCCACTCCTTCTCCTCTCCTATCGCCTCGTCGTCGTCGTCGTCGTCCTCTCCGTTACCGTCCCATCTCCTGCACGCTCTCCTCCTCTCGGTTCAGGAAGCGTCCGCACACCATCAAATTATACCATTGAACGGCGGCCGATTGCCTAAGATGCCCGCCGAGAAAGACTCCTCGGAGACCGCGCCGCCGAACGTCGTCGTCGTCCTTGTTATCCTCCCTCTCCTGTTGCTCGCTCGCTCACTCACACGCATCACCAGGCTCAGGAGCCAAACGTCGCAATCCATCCCAGGGGGGAACTCGAAAACATCCTCGCGCTCATCATGCCGTCGCCCTCCTCCTCCTCCTCCTCCTTCTCCTCCTCCTCCGCGAGGCCCCTCCGGACAGGAAGCACTCACTGGCAACCGCCAAGGCGCCGAAAAGGCCGCCCGCGCACGGCCCCGTCCTCGTCCCCGTTGGAGTCGACGTTCCGGACCTCGAACGGCCGCCCTCCGAGCCGCCCTCGGGCCGCACTTGCCGTCGCTCCGACGTCCGTGCCCCTGGCACTTTTGTTTCCACTCCGTGCGCTCGTGTGTCTCGCGAGGCGCTCCAGGAGGCTCCTCGAGGGTGCTCGCCGAGGGCGAGTGCACGTCGGGGGTCTCTGTCGGGGGAGGGGGGGGGGAGCGCACGTGGGCCAATTGGGTTAGTTCGGGCATGTCCCCCTACAGGGGGATCTTGGACGAACAATTAAAGATACCCCCAAAAAACAAAAATAAGAGATACGACAAAATCGTCCCCGACTATTTGTTGGTACTATCTTGGAATGCTCCTCCTGTGGAGGGACAGGCCCGACCTACCCGTGGGGCTCGACGTTGGGCTCGAGGGGCGGCGAGCGGCACGGTCGAGGCGAGCGCGGCGGACCCGAGGAGGGCGGGGCCCGAGCGAGAGGGAGCACGGGGCCCGGGCCGCCGCGGTCCAGGCGGGGTGGCCCTCGCGCAGAGGCCACGGTGCCCCGGGGGCGAGGCGAGGAGGAGCAGAGAGGAGGCCGAGGACCAGGGCAAGGCCAGGGCTCACTGACGGTGCTGGAGCAGGAGGATGGAGGAGGAGGAGGATGGAGGAGGAGGATGGAGGAGGAGGAGGAGGAGGAGGAGGAGGGGAGGAGGAGGAGGAGGAGGAGCAGAGAGGAGGCCGAGGACCAGAGCAAGTCCAGGACTCACTGACGGTGCTGGAGCCAGAGGATGGAGGAGGAGGAGGAGGAGGAGGAGGAGGAGGAGGAGGAGGAGGATGGAGGGAGGAGGAGGAGGAGGAGGAGGACGAGGGGAGGAGGAGGAGGAGGAGAGGAGCGCACGTACCTTGACGCTCCTCCTCCTGGGAGGAGGAGGAGGAGGAGGAGGAGGAGGAGGAGGGACCAGTTTGAATCGCCGCCGAGAGGAGCAGGTGGGGGGGAGCTGATCTAAGGACCTCCCGAGGTTCACGCGCAGGCTCAGGGCCGACCCCGGACGCCCCGTCGCGCTCCCGCGGGGAGGGTGAGGCAACGGGCAAGGCAGAGCGTCGGAGGGGCGGCGGGGCCGCCCGATACCGTGAATGGGGGATCAGGCCAGGGACCGGAGGGAGAATACCGTCGGGCCACGAACCGACACCAAAGCAAACAACCTCGATCTCACCCCCCGTCCTCTGACTGATGCGCTGTTGCTGATTGGCTGTCTCTTGCCAGCGGAGCATCACCTGCCAGACACTCCGGCGACACGTTTGCCTGAACCCCGGGAGAGTACAGTCGGGGCCCCTTTTTTCCATAAGTTAACCTTCGATTTCCGATCGAGAACATAAGGAACACCTGAGGCAAGCTGCGAAACACTTCAGGAACGCGGAGCCCCTCCCCAACGAAAAGGGTTCCTTCTTCAGGGCCCCGACTGTAGAGCGGGGAAGCACGGCCAAGTTTAGGCTGGGCTTGTCCCTCTACCGGCGGATGTTGGGCGACAGTTCAAACATACCCTCCAAAAATTGGCAAAACATTGTCAAACATAGTAGCATTTAAAACAGCATCCCCAGACTGTTTCTGGACTATTTTTGAATATTCCCCATGTAGAGGGACAGACCCGACTTAAAAGTAGGCGCGTTGTTCTCGAATGGTTAGGGGTGGGTGGATGGGCGGGTGCAGACGTGGAGGCAAATCCAGGATCCAGGGGCAGGGCAGTGGGGAAAAGGAAAGGGGGGAGGTCTGAATGCATGGCCACTGCCAATGCAATCGGCAAAATGTGTCTGAACCCTCGAGGACCTGGGAGGGGTGTCCGTTACTCGTGCGCCCGGGAGGGACGCAAACTGTCCTTCCCAACGCGACGTTGTGTCGTGTACCTTTACCGCATCGCTACAACACGTGCCGACGTCCTTGTCGCGATTGCTCCGCGCGACTGGCAGTGCGAGCAAGAGAAGAGAGGATGGGGGGGGGGACGGGGGGGCGGAGGAATTGGGAGAGGGAGATGGCGGAAGGCCAGAGAGGGCAACAGGGAGGAAAGGAAGGCGCGGGGAGGGGGAGAGGGGGGGAGGGCAGACAGCGGAGGGGAGGATGGGATCGCGGAGAGAACCACAGGGCAAGGGGGAGGGGACGGGGAGGGGGGGGTTGGGGGGGGGGAGGAGGATGCGGGGTGGGGCAGCGGAGAACCACGGGCCAGCGGCCGGCGATCGAGCCCGGCCCGTGTGCGCGCTGGCCCCCGGCCATCAAGCCCGTGGAGCTCTCCTTGCCGTGGATGCGCGCCTGCGCTCGCGGCGGTGGGGGGGGGGGCAGGGGGCGAGGCTGGGGCGGGTCACCGCGGAGGGCTGCGCCGCAGGGCAGCCGTCCCGATGCGCCGCACCACGCGAGCTGCAACTCGCCCCGACGGCACCCAAGTGTTCGGCCGAGGCCGACACGCCCCGACCGGAAGCCGCGCCGCCGCGCGGCCGACGCGCCTCGGCCGGAGGCTGCGCCGCCCCTGGGCACTCGGGCAACGAGCAGTATAGCACAAACACTTTTTTTGATCCGCGGGTCGAGAGCGCACGTCTTCTGGTCGAGGCCAAGCGGGCCGCGCGAAGCTTGGATCAACAAAGAGGGGGAGGAGGGGGGGAGAGCGCAGCCTCAGGGCGAGGCCAAGAGGAGGCAGAGCCTCGGGATCAGGCGGTGCCGAAATCGACGTGCACGCCAAGGTAAAGGCCGTGTGAAAGTCTGAGGGGACAGAGGGAAGGTACAGCACAAACGCCCACGCGCAAACCACCTCAAGAGGCTGCGCCGCAGGGCCCGGGAGCGGACAGGCCGCCCCCGCTCCCCGCGCTATGCCCCCCCGCGCTCCCGGAGGCCGCCCGCCGCCCTCGCCTTCGAGCAGCCCGCCTCTGACTGCGCCCGCGCCACTCCCGGCCCCCTCGCCGCCCTACCCTCACACCCGAGGGGTCTTCAGCTTTGCTCCCGGCCCTTGTCTCCCTCGGCGGGGGATACAACTCGTCCCTCCGCTCCCTCCTGGTGCTCCTGCTGCTCCTCGTGCTCCTCCTCTTCCTCCCTCCTCCTCCTCCTGCTCCTTCTCGCTCCTGAGGAGGAGGAGGAAGAGGAGGAGGAGGAGGACGATGAGGAAGGTGCCGCGGAGGAAGGATTCTTTTCTGCGCGGGGCCTCAGTCCTGGGGCGTCGGAATCATACTAGTCAGTCTCGACTGTCTTGGGGGGGGGGGCGGGCCGAAAGATCCTGCAGGGTCAGTTCCCAGGCCTGGGCCTCCACGGCGGGGACCATGTGGTCGGGCGAGACCTCCACAAGGGGGCCCGCACCCCGAGATTCGGGAACCCTTGGCGGCATCGGCGGGTCCATGCCCCGATCGCCTGAGGAGGAAGCGGAGAACAAGCAGCATTGGGATTTTCGAGGAGCCGAGGAGGGAAAGGATAACAGGTAGGATGAGTAGGGCGAGGAGGGAGGAGGATACTCGCCTCGTCATTCAGGGCGCCTCTTCCGAAGCGAGGGCGCATCCTATTTCCCTGCACGTGCCGTACATCCTTCGTGTTTGCACGTCGCGCACGTGGCGCGGCGGCGGCATGTGGAGGGCCCCTCCCCCAGCGCGTGGCGCCCAAAACAACCTCCGCTGCTCTTCTTCCTCCTCCTCATCCTCATCGTCTTCCTCCTCCCGCTGCTCCTCCTCCTCTTGCCTCCCTCTTTCTCCAGCTCAACTTCCTTCTGTCCCTTCCTCTCCTCCTGCTCCTCTTCAGCCCGCACCCCGTGCGAGCAGCGCCTGATGTTTGCCGCCCACGCCCGCCTTATTGTGGAACTCGGGGTTCTTGACCTGCGGTACGCCCCTCCTCATCCTGCGGCAAATCTGCCACATCCGTGTGTGCTCTCGACATAGCGACCTGGCGATGAGAAACGAAACGTCTGGAGTGCACCGTGACGCTATATGTCGTACAGCATGCCAGCATGGTTAACAGCCCAGTTACGTGTCCGAAGTAACCTAGGCAAACTGCAAGTCAACAGTGACTGACATCCCCCGTGGTGTATAACAGTGCCGAACAACGAATGCAAACTTCGGCAACTAAAACGTGGACGTGTGTGTAGAGAGTGTACAGCTATGTTTATTTATATATATGTGTATGGAAATGTATAAGTATGTATGTATGTATGCATGCAAGTGCATATACATATATATATATATACATCTCTATGTATACACCTATATATACATATGTAGATAAATATACAAGAGTGTGCGTGTTTCCGCGCGCCCCGTTGCAGGGCACTCAAGCTGCGCGGATTAGGTTTGCTGCTCCTTGTTGCAAGTATATGTGTCAAACCTCCCCACTTACATCGTCTTACGTTCTACTTCCAACTGTAAGAAATTCCTGTTCGCGCGAGGAGGGGAGACCCAACCCGTCATTGCACCTTCCCAAAATCGCGCTGCATAAATTCCTGCGGGGTCGTGGGGCATGTGTAAATACATGAAACTCGCGCCCCCGAGGTCACGATCCCTCGTCCATTACACCATATTCGCCCCTCCGAGGCTACGATCCTTAGTACATTCACCAATGCTCGCGGCCCCGGGGCCACGATGCCTTTCAAATTACACTATATTCGCGCCCCGAGGATCACGATCCCTTGTAAAGTACACTATGGCCGCGTCTCAGAAGTCCAGATCCCTAGCAAATTGATTGACACTCGCGTTCCCGAGGCGACGGTCCATCATACACTACGCAATATTCGCTTCCCCGAGGCCACGATCCTGCGTAAATTGCAATAGATTCGCGTCCCTGAGCCCACGATGCCTCGAACTTGCCCAATCTTCGCATCTCTGAGGCCACGATCCCTCGTAAATCAAATCTTATGTACACATCGCACAAGATTCGCATGTCCGAAACTACGATTCGCCGACCTTGTTGGCGTGTGTGAGGGGTCGTTTGTTTGAGCCGTCGTCTCTGTCACTCGTCGTCTCCTCCCATTTCCCTGCACACTCTTCCTCAAGCCTGTCAGCGGGAGAAAAAGATGACAATGTCGTAAAACGGATCGAAGGGAAGCCCCTTCGACCAGGAAGCCAGGAAGCACACGAGGTCCCCAGGAAGCCCGAAGAGGCCCCCAAGAGGCTCCCAAGGCCCCCGAGAGCCTCCCGACGAAACCCCAAGAAACATCCCTGAAAACTCTGGCCCACGTCAGCGTCGTCGTCGTCGCCGCCGCCGCCATTGTAGTCGTTATCCCCCTTCAGGGCCGGAGGCGCCGGCCATAAGTCCTTTACAATTCGCGTGTCCGAAGCCACGGCTTTGCGTAAATTGCACCAAATTCGCGTCCCCGATGCTACGACCCCTCGCATATTAAGCAAGATTCGCTTCTCCGAGACAGCGACCCTTTGTAAATTACATTCCATTCGCGCTGCAAGGGCCACGATCCCTAGCAAATTACACAATGGTCGTCTCTCCGAGGCCACGATCACTCGCACATTATTTAATGCTCGCGTCTCCGAGGCCACGGCCCAATGCACATCCACATACATATATATAGTTGCGTTCCCGAGGCCACGATCATGTGTACATATATGTATACATATATATATACATATATATACATATGTATATATACTATACATGTGCAGTTATATATATATATAGAGATAAGCAAGATTCGCGGCTCAAGGGCCACGATCCTTGGTAAATTGCAAAGTGTTCGCGTCCCCGAGGCCACGACTCAAAATTAATTACTCAAGGATCGCGTCTCCGAGGCCACCATTTCTTGTCAATTACCTCATCTTCGCGTCCCCGAGGCCACAAACCATTGAAATCGCACCGTATTCGCTACTCCGAGGCCGCGATTCCTCGTACATCAATTCCTGTATTTTCAAAACAAGAAGCACGCGATATTCGCGTACTCGAGGCTACAATTCCTAGTACATCGCGCCATCCCCGCGTCCCCAAAGCTACGATCCGTACTGAATGAACAAATGCTCGCGTCCTCTCTTTGAGCCCATTGCAAGCTCGACTGAAGAAACAACCGAGGACCAGATCAGAGCAAGCTCGGTTAAGTGTAACCACGTATGTATACCGAGCCGAAGGCTTCCCACAAGTGAAGAAACCACCCATATTAGAGCGGCCCTGTCTCAGCGGTGTGCGGCATCACCAGTGGCACCCGCAAGGGGTACCAGCCTGGCCTTGCCCCCCCCCCCCGAACGGGGGGAATCCGCCGAGGCCGCTCCCGCTCGCCAGCGCCACTCCAGGACCGCTCGCGGTGGCCACACCCGCTCGCAGGCGCCCCCGCGCCCCCGAGCGGCGCGGCAAGCTGGCCAAGGCACCCGCAGGCGGAGGCGGAGGAGGAGGAGGAGGAGGAGGAGGAGGAGGAGGGAGGAGGGAGGTAGGAGAGGAGGAGGAGGAGAGGAGAGAGGAGGAGGAGGAGGAGGAGGAGGAGGAGGAGGAGGATAGGAGGAGGATAGGAGGAGGATAGGAGGAGGAGAGGAGGAGGAGGAGGAGGAGGAGGAGGAGGAGGAGGAGGAGGAGGAGGAGGAGGAGGAGGAGGAGTTGCTCGCGGCTCTGCCGCTCGGCCTCCAGCGCCCTGCTGACGGAGAGGCTCGAGACCCCTCGTGCTCCTGCGCGGCCTCGGCCTGCAGCACTGCGGTGCGCTGCGTCTTGGCCTCGACACGCGCCTCGGCCCCCGAGGCCACGATCCCGTGTAGTTTGCGCACTGCTCGCGTCCCCGAGGCCACAATATCCGTACTGCTCAACGATGCACCCGCGGCTCCGAGGCCGCGATCCCGTGCAGTTTGCACTGTGCCCACGTCCCGAGACTACGATCCGTCGTAAATGACGCTGTGTCCGCGCCCCCTCAGGCCACGATCCCGGGTAAATATAGCGAAATGTCCGCGTCGATGCCTCGATCTCTAATGAGTGGCGCCGTGCTCGCGCCTCCGAGGCCACGACCCCAAGCAGCTTGCGCCATAGTCGCGTCCCCAGAGCCGCTGTCCCTGGGAAGATGCGAGCGGCGAGACTTCGCCCGACGTAGCCGCAAGCAGCCCCCAGTCGTTCCAAGAGGGCATCCACGAGACAGGATGAGGCACACTTCGCGAAACATGCAAAAAAGAGTTCAACAATAGCATATGGACCTCAACTTGTCTTGAAGATTACACATCACCCTGGTATGAGGTTGCGAGATTGCTTCACGACGGCGCCCATGCATCCCAATCTAACTTCTGCATACCCCTTTCTAATGGAGAAGGGGCGAAGACCGAACACCCACAAACAAACACAAACACAAGCACAACCACAAACACACACCCACACAAACACCAGCACCAACAACAACACCAATCCACGAAGTTGTGCGAGTCGAAGTTTGAACGCGCGCTTCTGTCTCTCGCGCGCAAATGCCAGCAGTCTGCGGTGTGCGATCGACAACCAACGTGAAATCTATGATTGTCACTTCTTCAGGCCCTCTTGGGGCTGTTTTTGGGCCCTCTGTGGCCGTCTTGACAGCATCTCCGGCCGTCTCGTGGCCCTCGTGAAGAGACTCGGGTCCCTCTTGGCCTGCTTTGGGGGCCTCTTGTGGGGGCTTGTCAGGTCGTCTTGTGGGCCTCTTGGGGGTTTCTTGGGCCGCCTTGGGGACCTCTTGGGCTCTCCGTGGGCCTCTCCGTGGGCTGTCTTGGGGGCTCTCTGGGGCGCCTCTTGGGGCCTCTTGGGCCGTCTCGGGGCGATGCTGGAGGCCTCTTGGGCCGTCTTGGGGGTCCAGACGGTCGAGAACGCGAGAACTTCAGAATCCGTAGGAAACCCATCGGAAATCTACTATTTCGCCCTCTTGGGGCCCTCGAGGGTCCCCTCGGAGCCGCCTCGGTACGTCTTGGCAGGTTATGGGGCCCCTTGGGAGCATCTAGGGCCGTTGAAGGGCCGTCTTGGGTCAAATCGGGGCCGTCTTTGAGCGGTACCTCCTTGGGCCGCCCGGGCTCTTCTGGGGATTTCTGGTGCCTTTTCGGAGCCCTCTGAGGACCCTCTGGTGCCGTTTCGGGATCACCGGGGCGCTCGGGGAACCGGGGGTCCCCCCCCAACCCGCCATGCTTCCGATGGACTTATTTAAATATATATATATATATATATATATATATATATATATATATATATATATATATACACATATGCTATATATTACATATGTATATGTAATGTGCAATCGCGAGTGAGAGAGAGAGGGATAGAGAGAGAGAGAGAGAAAGAAATCGAACATTACCTCTCATTACTCGTTCCATCGATGCTAATCCCACTGGTTCCGCGGGATGCCGAAATTGTCGGAGCGAGCGAGCTGTCCCGAACAACACCCGATCTCTGGCCAGGCCCTGGAGAAACGAGAAAGACCCATACCGCTGGCTTGAATCTCGAGGCGAACCCAGCCGTGGCGACAAAGGACAGGTAGCGGTACCGGGTACCTCTTCCTCCTCTGAAGCCCGCTATACCCGCATCCCCGTCCAGCTGTGCCAGGTACGCTCAGGACAGATGGGTTGGTTTGCTGTCGAGCTGTGTCGAGGGAAACCCCCGAACAATGGCTGGACGTTTGAGCCGTCTGTGGGAAGGTCGACACCCCACCACAGGCAAGCCCTTTTGACCAAAGCCGAACTTTATCGCCCAGGGACGGCCTGGGGTAGGGGAAGCTTTCAACGTCGCCGTGGTGCGTGCCTCGCAGCTGCGGAGATCAGGCTAGCATAATCCAGCATAATCCCCGTCCAGCGCAGCCGCGTGGAGGCCCGCTGCCATGCGAAGCCCCGGCCCGTCGCGGTGGCCCGCGTTGGCCCCGCCTCGGCCCCGCCCTGCCCGCGCCGAACCGCCCTGCCCCACCGCCGTCCGCCGCGCCGCCTGCGCACGGCCGCGTGTTGGGGGGCAACGATCGGGGGGGACTGCCATAGGGGAGGATGCATCGACCTGGAATCGGCGATACATCGCCGACAGATCGGCGATAGGCCCATGACAGTGAATACGCACCCTCCTGGGCAGGCTGGGGCTATCGGGCCCCTCTTGGCGATCAGTGGGCGATTGGGTGTCCATGCGTCCCCCCTATGCTTAGGTCGGGCATGTCCCCCTACAGGGGGATTCTGGACGAAAAATTGAAAATACCTTAAAAAACCAAAACATATTCACAAAAATTGTCAAAACATAGCCCCCAGACTATTTTCTAACAATTTTTGAATTTTCCCCCTGTAGAGGGACAGGCCCGACTTTAACCCTATGCCTATTCACCCCTATCGCTGCGCCTGATGTGCTGGCCGTCGGCGCCCTCGCCCTCGGCCCTGTCGATGGGCCAAACTGGTGCAGCAGTGCAGGCAGGGCGTCCGGGCCGACTGCGGTGCGCAAGTCCTGCACAAGCTGGCAGAGATTGACATGTGTGCTTCCGGACCAAAGCTTGCCTTAAGGGGGCTCTCACATGTCTTGAGAATAATTGACCTGGGGTTCCAAGATCTTCATATGTCCCTGGACGTGCGCGTCACGGCATGCTCTTCATTTCCCTGCGATGACGATCTAAATGATAGGCTAATACCTGTGTGCATTCAACTAGATGGGGAGTGAGACCAGGCTAGATTGAGCTACGCTTATGGCTGTCTTGCGATCCGGACATATCCAGCGTATTCGATGATAGTACAAGGGGGGAGGTGGAAGGGGGGGATGCAGGTACAGGAGGAGGGAAAACCAGCGACATGCTCGTGTATATACATATATATACATACACATAGATGTAAAACTACGAAACTCTGAGAATGTGGACGTCGAGCGCGAGAAGTGAAAACAAACGAACGGTAAACACCCGGCGGACTGATTTATCCCGTTCCGTCTCCTCTCTGGTGGAAGGTACAGCGCAGAATTCACGGCATCACTAGCAAACTTGATGCAGGCTCGGGCAAACCAAATAATCGAACAAAACATGGATATGTTCTGCTCGGAAAAAACGACAAATCCAAAATACACATTGACAACGTCTGCAAAACTGCTCGCGATCCAATCTGGTAGAGACGCCCTATATGCGAATGCAATGCGCATACTGCGCGAGAAAACATTTTACGCGACTCACAAGAGGTGGTCTCGGTCTATACCATATGGATGTATCAATGTGCTCCGTCAAATTCCAATCGGTGTTCTGTCGTGCTTCTGGGCCAAACAAGGACGTCGTTCTAATACGCTACACACCACCTGGGTGTCGCTTGCTGCTGGGCGCGCCCAACACGCCAATCTCAGAAAACGGCAATGCACCTGAAATCACGTATACGGTTAGGGCAATTGCCCGAGGACTGTACCATTCGCTGTCTCGTGCGTGTGCAGATATGTCGCAACAAGGTCTACAACGGAAACAACGCGCACAACCTGCACAACATATTCTTACCATGAACGCGAACCCACACGCAGAATCAATCGCACACGAAGGCCGGTTCACGCCATCACGTAATCACACGCAGCAGTGATCAGCACAGTGCAGGTTGGACCTTCATTTGCCTCATTTGGGCAGGTGCGGGTGCCGCCTTTGGCTTTGCCTTCGCAGCCTGGATAGAAGAGGCCGGGCAACGCGAACACACCCTGACGTGGAGGCAAGATCAAACCCTAACGCGGAAGTATGCAAGCTTGGAGGAACGTGGCGTCATTGTCGCTACTTGTCCAAAACATAACGTGCTTCATGAAGCCAGGCAGTCTGACCCGTTACTAATGGATGAGGCCAAAGACAAACAACGAATTCACGCAAGAAGGCGCTGCACCCGAACAAGATATCTGCTTAACTTCTTCTGGACTATCTTAACAATCTGTCGTCGGATGTGAAGTGTAATGACTGGCACCATGGGCACCATGAAATTGAACAACACATGCGATGCTCGCTCATAGGGGTCCTCCTCTGTTTTGTTGCTGTCCTTCTTCGGCTGGTTCTCCTACCAGCGTGTACACTGCAGATGCTATCCATTACCCATGTCAGATGCAATCCGATTGAATAGATAGGTAATGCCGATCGGTGACGGCCATCGCACAAATGCTGTACAGCGAAGGTTCTGGATATTGCGGCGCCTGACCGGCTCCAAGTGGGCGAATCAGGCCAATCGCATTGGGACGCCATGCCCGAGCATCGAAAGGTATATTGTAAGAAGCGGGCGATCAACATTGCCATGCGAGTGCGCGTGTGTATCTGGAATTACTGTCTGAACGCGCACATGCACATGTCAATCCATCACTGCGCTGTTATGTGGCTGGTGCGTGTGCGTAGGGACTCCCTGCACCACCTAAACATAACATTCCAGCGGTCGTCCATGCCCGCCATCCTCTGTTTCTTTGTTGTATGCGCATGGCACAGATTGCATACTCTTTGCGCAGCGCGGCATGCATGCGATCTGTCTTCCGCTGTGTGACCCAGTGGCGCGCCGGAGATGTGTGTGTGCGAATGGATGTTTTAAGAGCGCAGCCTTTCCTCTTCGTGCTCCGCGGCCGCGTCGTCCTCTTTTCACCGTCTCTCTGGTGCACATTCGTTTGGCTGTGGCGACCGATTCGCGCGATCGCCGAGTCCACGACCATTAAAATGTAAGTGTGTGTGTGTGTGCGTATGTGCGTGTGTGTGTGTGTGTGAGTGCGCGTGCCATTTCCTTTGCTTTCTCTGAGCTATGGTTCCTTGCAAGAGATTTGCCAGGCCTCCCACCGCATGGAGTCCGATCTGCTTGATTTTGCTTTAAATGTCCATCGGCTTCGTGAGGGAACTGGTGGGAGAGAACAGCATGGGCAAGACCACGCGTGGTGTCCCGGGGGGCTGCGCCGAGTCCCCCGGGCTCTGGCCATATGGACGATACAACTGTAGAAACAATATTTTCAATTTTGTTTTGTTTTCGTTTTCCCTCGTTCTGTCTTCGTCTCGCCCTCGCTGCAAAACGAAATCAGAACGAAGACGGTCCACGAGATCGCTAAAACACCGTTTTGCTCGAGCCCTGTGTCGAAATACAATCGAGAAAGGACAGAAGTTCTTTGGGGCTGCGGTGACGCCCAGGTACACGAGGAGCGCCAGGGGAAGACCCATGGAAGGACCTAAAGAACACCGACCCCCGTTGAAACAACATTTAGCTTGAAGTGTTGCCCGTAATTACTACCCTGCGGCGCGCCAAGACGGAGCGGGTCTTGCGCCATCAGCTCTCCAGCTTCAAGGGAGGAGGGTACTATGTTTCGGACCTGTCTCAGAGATCACCGCAAGGGCACCCCAAGACAGGTAATAGCAGAACAAAGGGAGGCGGGGCATGTCAACAATTGACAGAGCGCTCGAACTCCCACGCCACCGTGTGATACGTCCGATTCTGCCGACCAGCACTAGGTATGCAGCATGCACGTGACAATATCCTGCAGCATCTGAACTTGCGGCTCGGGGAACTCGGAACATGGCGGGCGCCTAGTGGGCTGCACGGGGATGCCATCAGGCCCAAGGGAGGCTGCAGATGACGAAAAACGGCAAAGAATTATTCAAAGTTCAATTGCCATCGCCTTCCACGATTCCCAGAACAAGTCGTTCTGCGAGGGCTTCAGAATGCGCAATCTTGCCCCTTGAACCCAAACATGCGCCCAATACTACCCGATGCGGCTCCGTGAAGATTTCAAGACGGCCCAAGCGGCTGAAGATGTGATCCCCAAGATTTGTTACGACGGTCTCACAAACAACAGATGGGCCAGGCAGCCCAAGAGGGGGACGACGAGAGTAAAAAGGATGGGGAGCCAGGGAAGAGGTTGAATTACACAAGAACTTTCAGAACGTCTGTCGGATCTGCGCGTAGGTTCCTGGGTCTGCGTTGACTCCCCTTCCACTTGTGCGCGTAGCGCGCCAAAGACTGTCACCAGAGGTGCCGTGACGGGACGTCCAGCGCCGACCAAGGAAGTCCGCGCGGACCTCTTAAAGTGCACGCTGGTAAAACCAGGTGCTCCTCGAGGATCGGGAGGGGGATAAATGGGACGACGATGAGCGATCGGGGGACGTCACGGTCCCGCCTTGGGGACGTACTGACCCGGGCCGATGCACATCCAGGTCAGTCAGGCCTTACAGATCCTGCACGCATGCCCGGGTCAGGGCAATAGTGGCTCTGCAGGATCCTCCAAGATCCAGCGCCCTGGCTGACCCCCGTTTGCACTGACCCCTGTCCCTTGAGCCCCGACCTCCAGCATGAACTGTCACCCTGGCGAGGGGTCGCCGTCGCACTGACGGACATGGGCCTCTCGGAAGCCCGCGGTTGCGGCCGCGCGCCGTGCGTGCGGGATAGGGGCAGCACGGGCAGCGCTCGCGTGCGCTCCTTCTCGGCCCGCTTCTTCTCTGCCTTCTCTTTCTTCGCCTCGGGCCACGCCCCTCGAACGCTTTCGCACACGCTCGTCGGTCCCTACAGAGGGAGGGCGCGCCGCTGGATCTCCCCCAAAGGGGGGGGGGGGTCCCCCCTTTGGCCGCCAAATTCGACCCCCCGCCCCCCTCCACCCCTTTCGCCACGGCGCCCCTGGCTCCGGAACACGACCCCTACCACCTCTAACGCTACCACCCCTACCACCCCTTAGCCCTAACACCAAACCCTAACCCTAGCCACAAACAGTACTCAATACTCATTATTCACTACCCACTACTCGCTAACCCCATGCTCACGAGAATAAACACTAGGGGATAATAAAGTTCGGGGTTCAGGGGGAGATAATCAAAGTAGCCGACCAGACCTCAGCATAATCTCGAAGTAAGAGATGATCAAGAGGAGACCAAACCGAGCACGTTTTGAGACATCCTTGGCGTTTAATCTTCATTCAAATATCCTCAACAATGGCTTATCTCGCTGGAGACATCCTCGACAAATCCCTTGTTTCGCTTGAGACATCCACAAACTATTGCTTATTTCGCTTGAGACACCGTCAAATTATTGCTTATTTCGCTTGAGACATCCTCGAAATAATTCTGTTTTTCGCTTGAAACATCATCAAACTATTGCTGATTTCGCCTGAACATCCTGAAACTATTGCGTATTTCGCTTGAGACATCCTGAAACTATTGCTTATTTCGCTTGAGACACCGTCAAACTATTGCTTATTTCGCTTGAGACATCCTCGAAATAATTGTGTTTTTTATTCTCGAAGGTCTCATTGTCTGGTTCGGCTCTCTGAGCAGCCATCTGCTTGAGCAGCTCTGCTTCAGCAGCTCACCTTGAGCAGAGAGAGATAGTGAGAGAAAGAGGAGAGAGGGAGGGAGGGAGAGAGAGAGAGAGGTGAGACTCTCTCTCTCTCTCTCTCCCGCCGTGCGCTCCTCTGAGGTTTATTATCGTCGGCAGTTTTTGTTATCATCGGCTGAGGTTTATTATCGTCGGCAGTTTTTTATCATCGGCAGGGGTCAATCGCAACTCCTGAGCTCTCCAAGAAGACGGCGGCACGCAAATGATACGCATTTTTTGAAAAACCGCATTTTGAAAAAATAAAAAAAATGCGAATTCCATTGTAATCTTTTCAAAATTGCGAAATCGAGCCGTCAGGCGCTTGAATGCCACATTTCGTTCGAGATTTAAGCACGCGGCGCATTTATGAGAAATTTGCGTCGCACGTGCTTTTGCCCGAATATCGAACGCAAAGTGGCATTCAGGCGCGTGCGGGTTCGAATTCGCAATTTCGAAAGGATTTCAATGGAATTCGCAACCAAATATAATATTTTTTAATCAAAATAAGGTTTTTCACAAAAAAAATGCGTGTCATGAGAAAATTGCGTCGCACACGCTTTCGCCTAAATCTCGAACGCAGTGCGGCATTCAAGCGCCTGACGGCTCGATTTCGCAAATTCGAAAAGATGTCAATGGAATTCGCAATTAAATAATATATACTTTTTTCAAAATGAAGTTTTTTCAAAAACATGCGTATCATTTGCGTGCCGCCGTGTTCCCGGAGAGCTCAGGAGTTGCTATCGACCACTGCCGATGATAAAAAACTGCCGACGATAATACACCTCAAGAGGTTGTGCTGAGGGGTTGTGCTGCAGGGTTGTGCTGGAGGGTTGTGCTGGAGGGTTGTGCTGGAGGGTTGTGCTGGAGGGTTGTGCTGGAGGGTTGTGCTGGAGGGTTGTGCTGGGGGGGTTGTGCTGAGAGAGAGAGAGAGAGAGAGAAGGAAAAAAAATAAAACGATATATATATATATATATATATATATATTCTTACTAAGAAAGATATACCACATTTCGCAGACAAATAAAAAATTATAATAAAGAAGAAGGGTACTACGAATAATAATAAGAAGAAGGTATATAGAAAGAGAGACAGATAGAGGAGGAGGAGGAAAAACAAAAAAATCAAGTTTCAAATCCATCAGATTTTATTTAGAAGCGCTTTATGAAAATTGAGAAAGAGAGACAGAGAGAGAGAAGAAGAGGAGATAATGAAAAACAAGAGAGGAAGGAGAGGAGGAGAGGAAAGGAGAAGACAGGAGAGGAGCAAGAGGAGAGAGAGATAGAGAAACAGAGAGAGAAAAAAGACAGAGAGGAAATAAAAAACCTATCATATTTTCCATGGATAACCAATCCCAGGGATAAACAAGTTCAGGGGGGCATGGGGGGGAGAGAGACAGAGAGATAGAAAGAGAGAGAAAGAAGAAATAATGAAAATGAAGAGGAGAAGAAAATTTCAATAGGAGACGTAGAAGAGGGGAGGAAGAGGAAAGGCAAACATTTCAAGTTCCAAATCTATTATATTTTATTTACAAACGCTTTATGAAAATTGTTTATTTTTTTCAGTGCTCGTGTAGGAGCTCATGTGCCTCACTTTCCGTGGATAATCAACCCCAGGGATAAACAAGTTCAGGGGCGCATGGGGAGAGAGGAATATATAAAGAGAGAAATAAAGAATACAAAGAGAGAGTTGAGGGAAATACATAAAAGAGATAGTAAAAAAGGAAAAGGACAAGAAGACATGAGGAGGAGAAGTAGAAGAGGAGAGGAAAGGAGGAAAAAACAAAAATTCTGACGATTCAAATGTATTAAATTTTCATTTACAAGCGCTTTATGAAAATTAAAAATTTTAAGTGCTCGTGTAGGGTATCCGTGGATAATCAACCCCAGGGATAAACAAGTTCAGGGGGGCATGGGGAGAGAGAGGAAACAAAGAAAGAAATACAGAACTATATAAAGAAATAAAATTATAAATTAAGAAAAAAGGGGGAGAAGAGAAGAGGAAGAAAAAGAGCAAACATTTCAAGTTCCAAATCTATTAGATTTAATTTACAAACGCTTTCTGAAACTTGTTGTTTTTTGAGTGCTCGTGTAGGGTAGCTCATGTGCCTCACTTGCCATGGATAATCAACACCAGGGATAAACAAGTTCAGGGGGACATGGGGAGAGAGAGAGAGGAAGAAAGAAAGAAATAAAGAACCATATAAAGAAATACAGATATAAATTAAGAAAAAAAGGGAGAAGATAACAGGAAGAAAAAGAGCAATCCTCGAGTATATGCTTGGTTCGCTTGAGACATCCTCGGCAAGCTTCTCGAATCGCTTGAGACATCCTCGCAGAATTGCTGGTTTCGCTTGAGACATCCTTGTAACATTGCTCGTTTCGTTTGAGCCTGCCTCCCAAAATTCTTGGTTTCGCTTGAGACATCCTCACAAAATTGTTGTTTTCGCTTGAGACATCCTTAAGAAACGTATCGTTTCGCTTGAGACATCCTTCAGTATATGCTTGTTTCGCTTGAGACATCCTCGAGTATATGCTTGCTTCGCTTGAGACATCCTCGACAAGCTTCTCGAATCGCTCGAGACATCCTCGAGTATATGCTTGCTTCGCTTGAGACATCCTCGACAAGCTTCTCGAATCGCTTGGGACATCCTCACATAATTACTGGGTTCGCTTGAGACATCCTGGTAACATTGCTAGCTTCGTTTGAGCCTGCCTCCCAAAATTCTTGGTTTCGCTTGAGACATCCTGAAAACAGTGTGATCACTTCGTTTGATGTTGCTATTTCAACATAACTTGACCTTGCTATCTCAACATAACGTTCCGAGGTGATCATGAAGTTTGGCCTCCGCGCCCCGCGCCCCCGACCAAACTTTTATTGGTCGACGATAGAAAACTCTAACGACTTAAGGGGGGGGTACATTATTATCGTGGGCGTGGGGTCACTCACTACTCGCTACTCACTACTCACTACGCACTACTCACGACTCACTGCTCACTACCCACCACTCACTACCCACTACCCACTACTCACTACTCATTGCTCACTGCTCCCAACTCCATTCTCACTACTCACGACTTACTACCCAGTACTCTATACTCACTACTGACTAAACACTACGCACTGCCCACAACGCACTACTCACTAAGCACTACGCACTACGCACTACTGACTACTGAATACTCAGAACGCACTGGTCGCTAGTCGCTACTCGGAAATCGCTAATCACTACTCACTACTCACGACTCACTACTCAGTACTCTCTACTCGCTACTCCCGATTTACTTCCCACTGTTTTATGCCCACTTCGCACTTCTCACCACTCCCCACTCGCTACTCGCTACTCACTAGTCACTACTCAATACTCGCCACCCCCATCTCGCTACGCACTACTCCCTACCCACTACTCACTACTGACTACTCCCGCCGCCCTATTCTCTACTCACAACGCCATATTCGCTACTCACTACTCAGTACTCACTAGTCACTACTCGCTACTCCCTGCTCGCTACTCGCTACTCGCTACTCACTACCCACTACCCACTACTCACTACTCACTGCGCACTACTCACTACTCACTACTCACTACTCACTTCTCGCTCCTCGCTGCTGTCTAATCACTAACTACTACCCACTACTCACTACTCACAGCGCCCTACTCGCTACTCGCTACTCTCTACTCATTATGCACTACCCACTACTCATCTGTCACTACTCACTATTCAACACCCACTACTCACTACCCACGATTCACCACTCACCACTCACTACTCCCTACTCAATACCCACTACTCATTACTCATTACTCATTACTCACGACTCACTACTCGCTACACACTACTCACTATTGAGTACTCACTACTCACTATCCCCCCTCCCTCCCTTTCCCGGTGGGTCGTCGGGACCCCCTCCCCCTCCCGAAGCCTTTGTGAGGCCAGTTCTGGAAAGACTCGAAATATCCAGAAAGCAAAAAATCGAGAGATCACGAGGCCAAACCGTTCCCCCCCTTGCGAGAGAGGCCCCCTCCCCAGCCCCCTGTTCGACGCAAAGGGGGGGAAGGGGGGGGAGGGGGGGGTCGGACCCCCCCCCGTTAAGGGGGGGAGGGGAAAAATCTTAATTTTTTTTTGAAGGGGGGGAGGGGTGGGGGTTTGCGAGCACATACCCCCTTTTTAATTACAGGCTGATCCAGTGGTGCGCTTTCCTAGGGAGGTTTTCCAGCCTCGGGATGCTCCCCACAGCTACACGCCAAGAGTGACCCTAGGCAAGAGGGACGTCTAGTGCGCGGACTACGGGGGCGCAAGTCAAGTCAAGTCAAGTAAGCCTTGCACCGGCCGGTGCGTGAGCAAAGTGAAACATGAAACGGACAGGCCGCTGGTCACACGAATGTGACGCACAGGAGGAGGATGAGGAGGAGGAGGAAAGAGGGGGAGAGCTAGCACCAAACAGTGCACAAGCAGCCATGGTCGCATTGCGCTCCGCGATCGGGGGGGGACCCCGGTGAGCCCGCGCCACAAAGGTCACTCCGGCGGAGGGCCACTCGTGCATGCTGTCGATCGCCCCTGACTGCTCCCGGAGGCCAGAGCTAGAGTTAAGTCGGGCATTTCCTCCTAGAGGCGCATTTTGGAGGGTTTTTGTTAAGCCCCCCAAAAATCAACAAATAATAAAAAAATAGTCCCCATACTATCTTTTTACTATTTTCGAATATTCCTCCTGTGGAGGGACAGGCCCGACTTAAAGCTAGAAACCGAAATCGGCGGCGAGCGAGGGGGGGAAGCGAGGAGGAGATGATGTCTTCTCTGAGGGCGGCGGGACCTCTCAGAAACCCCTCGCGCCTTCTGAGAGGCTCTTCTTGTCGTCGGGGAGAAGGCTTGGAACCTTCTCTGAAGGCCGGGGCACCTATCAGCCGCGGATATGCAACAAGAACTCACCAACAGACGTGTCTCTGCAGGCAAGACGGAGAAACGGCCGCCCGGCCGGGAAAGACACTAGAGCGAGAAGAGCAGAGGGAAGGGGAGGAAGTGGCAGGAAAGGAGGCAAGCCTCCACTATCTAAGCCGAGAAGGCCCGCCCTTTCTCACTTCCATCCCTCGCTCGCCGCTGGCGAAGGCCACCGACGGATGCATCCCGAGCTCGAGCGAAGACACCGCAGCTGTTCTTGCGCCGCTGTCGGCCTCCGTGGGTCCTCGCCAGGCTATCGTCGGGCCGTCAACTGGCGACTCGGGATGAGCATCCCGCCCCTGGCCATCGCTCGGACGTCCATTCCCTGTGCTTTTTTTCCGTTTCGTGCGTGTTTCTTTCGCCAGATGATCAAGGATGCTCCTCGATGGCCCTCGCCGAAGGAAAAATGCACACGTCCGAGCGATGCCAAGGCCCAGGGGAGAGGGTCGCGACTTCCGAGGGCCTCGCGTCGAGACACAAGACAAGACCTCGGTTCTCTGGGCTCTCTCCTCTCTCACCTCTCGAGTGAACTGCTGGCTCCCGATGCCATTCCTTACCTTCCACCTCATTCACCGCTTCTGGCTCCCTAAGTGTAGTGCCTCTGGCCGCCGCGCGAGCTCTGTTCAGACATGGGTCACGCAGTCAGCTCCCAGCGACTCCCTGGCGAAAACCTAATGATGTCAACACCTGGGGCCACTCTTAGATAGACGGAATCCAATGACAACGTGTGGGGCCAGGGTCTAATGGTAAGCGTGTCGGAAAACCTGTCTTCATGGTCGCACAATCATATGTACCCCTGCCTGCCAGGGGTACCTGCCGGCATACGCAAACGGATTGTTCTGTTTTTACTGGCAGGGGCCCTTCCAGTAAACACAGAAACCAATGCGTTTGTGATTTAAGAGAACTTTCTGGAAGGGTCTGGTTCCAACACGGTTTACATAATAATCCAAGTGGCCTGAACGAAACCAAGATTGGCCCAATAGCTTCCATGACGGTCCCAATGGTTCTTAAAAAAAACACCGGAATTATCACCACAAGGCTCTCGTGGGACCAACTAAGCTTACGGGTAAAACTCTCGAACGCTTCACGTACGAAATGCTTCCAAATCACCACCCCCCAAGATTCGCCGACCCGCGCTTGCCGGGGGTGAGAAGGCGTGTGAGACATTTGGTTGTCCCCCTTCCCTTTTCCCCCATCCCCTGGGGGTCCAAAATGCCATTCTAAGGGAAGGGGAAGGGGGGGGGGGGGACGAGCTCGTCAACGCACCCCCGTGGCCTCCAGAGCCCCCCAAAAACCGCCCATGGCAGCCCAACAGGGCCCAGACAGAGCGCCAAAAGAGTCGAAAAGAGTGTCATGACGGCCCAGGGTGGCCCTACGACGATCCAAGACGGCTTCAAGATGGCCCGCGAGGCCCCCAAGACAGCCCAAAGCGCCTTCTGAGGATCGCCGAGAGGGCCCCAAGAGGCCAAACATCCCATTCCCTTGGACGGAAACGTACGTTTTCAGAGCATTCGCATGTACGTTTTGACAGCGAACACGATGGCCCAAGTGGCCCCCAAGATTGTTTCAAGAAGGCACATGATGCCTCCAAGAAGGCCCCAAGACGGTCCACGAGGGCCCAAAGACAGCCCCAGGGGCCCCCCAAGATGGCCCAAGACAGCCCCTGAAGGGTCCCAAGAGGGCTCCAAGAAAGCCCAAGAGGGGGAGTATGAACTGACATTTCGAGACGTTCCCACCGACATGGCCCCTCGAGCCCCCAGAGGCACCCGAGGACCCTCCAAGAGGCCCCAAGAGACCTCCAAGACGCCCCCAAGAAACCCCCCAAGAGACCTCCACGAGGCCCCCCAAAGCCCCCCACATGCCCCCAAGATATTCCAAGAGGCTCCAGACGAGTATGCCAAGATACCCTCCTGACCCAAGATGTAACTTCCACGATCGTCTCAAACCCTCACTCCTCGTGGGGATCGGCGGAATGGCGTAACCCACTCGAATAATGACCCCCCACGACGGCCTTCAGACAGGCAACGAACGACGGAACGAAGTACCTATCCGAGATATCCTTGGAACGATCTCAGATCAGACGGCCCGAGAATGGCGCAAGGCGGCCCGAAAACCGCCACGCCTCCAAGAACCCCCCGAGAAATCTGGGAGAGAACCCACAACACGCCGCACTGCTTGTGCGCTCCTCTTCGCCATGACGCCCCTGCGTCCACCAGCAGGCGGGCTTGGCTGGGCGGAAGGGCGCGCCAGCCTTGGCGAGCAGGTTCTCCCTTCTGGCCTCCTCCATGTGCTTTCGGAAGAGCGCGAACTTCGCGAGAAACTCCCCGGATGGGGTCTTCGGCTTCTCCTGTGCCCCGCCTCCTCCGGCCCGGTCCGCGGACGGCGGACCTCGCGCCCGTCGCGCCGCTGTCCCCGAAAGATGACTGCACGAGAACGGCACTTGATTCAAGCACTTCCGCTACGTTGTCATCGTCGGGCATCGTTCACCGATGCCGACGATGACAACGTAGCGGAAGTGCTCCTCGATGGATGACGTACGATTTGGCGAACGATGGCAGCGTATCCTTCGCCAAATGATCAAGGGTGCTCCTCGATGGCCCTCGCCGAAGGAAAAGCGCACACGTCCGAGCGATGCCAAGCTCACTGGCGCGGCCTGGGCCCCACTGGCCGATTTGCCCCACTGAATGGGGTTATAGGCTTTTCCCTTCGAGTTCCGAGGGGCATATCCCAAGCTGGGGTGGTGGGATCGTGGGGATCGGAAGAGGATGTAGGGATCGGTTAAAGCGGTACTAATCCGTTATGGCCGTCTCGGAACATCTCTTTTTGAGGCAAGAGGGAACGGACAACTGCAGACAGTAGCGGTCAACCCCAACTCGATGAATCGGATTGAATCGGAACGTGCTTTGAAGCGGACGGCGTTGGCACGGAGTCGGATGAGAAAGCGGATCGGCCGCGCCAAGATGCACAACAACGCCATGCAAACATCATGCCACATCGGATCGGCATAATATCGAATCGAATCGGATCAAGCTGGCCGAAAGCGATATCGACGCGTCTCGGATCGAAGTGAGCTCAGAACGCTGATGAAGATCGGTGTGGCGCCATTGTTTGGTTCATATGGCCGTCACCGAATCTGGCCCCGCCGAATGCCTGCTACGACAGGCCCGATCACGGGGCGGCCGAGAGAGATCTGGATGCGAGTGAGAACTCGAAAGCGAGGTATACCTCGTGGCGTGAACGAAAAAGTCGGACGCAAGAGTGTCCCAATGCAAAATGACGCGGGAGGTCCCCAGTGGGCACACACTAATGGTCACCCTGGCCAAGGGTCACTGCTACGCGTACTCCAAAAGGACCTCCTCTCATCCCCAATCGTTTTGTTGGCGGCCCCTGGAGACAGCAAAACTCCGGACCCATTTCTTTCAGGGCCCCCTCCGTTCAGGGCGAATCTCGACAGACGGTGTCCCTTCAACGCCCTTTACCGCACAGGTGGGATGATCGAATGCACAGAAGGGGCGATGTGGGCAATTTCAGAAGCGATCCCGTACCAACAATCAGGGGAAACAACACGCCTCCCATGAATATATCGCCTGCCTAACCCTCGTGTCGCCCCCCGATGCCAGGATCAGGATCGCTCTCATTCGGCAAGACAACAGGGTTCCTGTGCTTTCGCTGGACTGGGATACCACTCTGGCGATTCCCGCCGACCTTGGGATACAACTGTGCCCGTAAGGGAACCAGAAGATACCGATACCGCCACTCCCCAGACCTCTTCCGGGGTGCGTTCTGACAAGGATTTCGAGGCGAATCCACTAATGGCGACGAGGGCCTCCCAGAAGGCCCAAAAAGGCGAAACCAGGGCCGAGGGTAGCGGTATCAATACCCGTCCCCCGTCTGAACAAAAATGGGTTCCAGGCTCATCCAAATTTACTTGTCGCAAGGTGTTGACTGCGCGCCGCACCCGGCTCCGCCCCTCCTGTCTCCTCCACGCCCCCTGACACCTGCCAACGCCCTCCCGCGCCCCCCCAATCTATGCCCAGAGCCGTCCACGGCGACAGCACCTCAAAATAACCCGACCCAACCGACAACGAACACGAAACCGACTGAAGCCGACAGGCCAGAAGTAGCCTAGACTCACGCAGCGACGCCACAACGAACACGACAACCGACGGAACCGAACTGACCGCAGGAAACCGACTGTGACGCAGCCGGACCGAACCGCGCATTCCCCTGATGCCCCCGTCCCTCCGCGAACATGTCGCAACACTGCTTGGTGAGGTCGGCCACCTCCCCGGCAGGGGGGCGCAGGAATGCGGGGGGCGGAAGTCGCAGGCCGGGCATGGCGACGAGCTGGCTGGCCTGCGTGCAGCGGTCCCTCGACTCAACGTTTTGCTTTGTGTGCGTGCTTGTGTGTGTGCGACTCTTGCTTGTGTGCGTGCGCATTGTAGGATCCTGCAGAATTCTGCAAAATCCTGCGCCCAAACCTGGGTCAATGCGAAGGTTCCTGCAAAATCCTGCAGGCTCCTGCACCCAAGCCCGGGTCAGTGCGACCCTGGCCCTGCAGGATCCTTCAAGATCCGGCGCTCTGGCTGACCCCCGTTTGCAGTGACCCCCGTCGCGAGGCTCCCGAACTTGAGGATGGCACGCAACTGGCCTATTTACCCAACTGCAACAACCTGGCCCATGGCGGCGTGGCAGGCTTCTGACTGACAGACTGACCTGGCGCGCGTGATCTAAGACATCGTTTTGAACCTGGGACGAGCTGCGGCGGAGCCCTGCTCTGATAAAGGCGGCGTCTCACGTCCGCGGCCGTGATAAGAGCTGGCGCCCATCCGCCGGCAGGAGCCGACAGGCGCGACGCAAGCGGCGCCGCCACAGCGGAGGGCTTGGGCCAACATTAATGCAGACAGGAGGGAGCACGGGTGGGGGCCATGGTAAGAGCTCCCGCCGCCGTTGCCGCCACTCCACTGTCTCGCCGAGAGCGATAATGGGGCCCGAACGACTGCGCGGCTCCGTTGTGGCGTCCGTGGCTCCACTATTGCAACCGCGGCTCTGCTGCGCGGAACACGGAATGCAGACGCCTTTCTCAGATAAAATCCGCCCCAAGGCCATCCCCTGCCCCCCCCACCCCCCAGGTCTCGCTCAAGGCATACTGCGGGACCTTGCGGACAACACCTGCGAAAACATTCCGCTGAGAGCACCACCAAGTGTGCTGCCTCTCCCAAACGTTGGCTCCATTGTAAGTGGACCAAAACCCCAGAGAGGGGGGGTCGTGTTTCTGCTGGAGACTGGCAGGAACGGAGCAACGGCATGCTTTGCTTGTCCGGAGAACTCCAGCGTCTCGACCATGCTCCTACCAGGGAAGTGGGCGATAGGAATCACCGCCGTCGCACCGCACCCTGGCGGGGGCATACGGACAGATTGCCCAAAACGACGGGCCTCACCGGGCGAAGTTACCAAAGACGTCACTCTGGCTCAGTGATGCCCGCTGAAGAAGTGGCATATTCGCGCAGAACCTCAGGGTAGGCTTGAGGTCGAATGTGTCCTGCGGGAGGCAGTCCGTGGTGACTAAGAGGGCTGTTGACAGCTCATCGATTGTAAACGTACCGAAACCGTGCTTCTGCACAGACCCAGACATGGCGATACCAGCGCTGCTCTCACCGTACGAGCCCCTCGCCCATGGTGAACAGACGCCTCCCACGACCTGGCGACAGAACACCGCGAACGGACAATTCTGCACATCCATCTCTCCATGTCACGGGTAGTGCTCAAGCGGTTCATCTTCGCCACATAGACTACAAGCAACCAGCAACCGCCTCCGCATCCCTCTCCTTCATCATCCCTCTGCCTCGCGCGGCAGCGACACAGGATCGGGGAGCGGGAGGTCACCTGCGTGACCTGCTCCTTCAGACCAGCTATCTTCTCCTGCGCCTGCGTCGCGAAGTCCTCCCTCCGTTCCGATCGGATGAAAGGTTTGCAAGGCTTGCTGACATAATCGGGGAAGAAGAACAGGGAATGAGTGGGAGGTCTAGTAGGCCGAGGGGGACGCGGGGAGAAGGATTCGGGGGCAGGCGCCCTACTATGAGGGAGCAGGAGGACGTGGAGGAAGACGCTCGGAGAGCGCGTGAGGCGATCGCAGAAACCATGCTGACTCAGGGTGGGCCACCGTCGCCGTTGGGCGTGCCTCGGAACCAGACCACTGGGACCAATCTCGCATCCCCTGCTTCCGATCATGACCATCGGGGCGACTGGCACGGATGCGCAGGACGAGAGGGTAGGGATGGACTTGGAGACGGGAGAGGATGGACTGGAATGGCGGGCACGTCGGATGATGGCTGCCGGTTACATGGATGTTGGACACGAGACGCTGTTGCACGCTGCTCGGCGCTGGATCCCAGATCATTGTGCGTGCTCGTAGGACGCCGAACTGCTGTCAGGTGGCGGGGCAGGAAGCGCGCGATGGGGAGAGAAGGGTGCAGGAGGACGAGTCGTCGCTCTCCTCCGCCTCCTCCTTCTCCTCCTTCTGCTCCTGCTCCTTCTCCTCCTCTCTTTCCTCCTCCTCCTCCTACTTTCTGGCGCCAGCTGGCGGACCCACAGCCTTCGCATCTCGCGCCGAAGTGCCCCCCCCCCCTCCTGGGAGCCCCACGGTCGCTGTGAGGGGGGAGCTGGGGCGGGGAGGCGGGGAGGGGGAAACCGAGGGGGGGGGGGGGAGGAGGGAGGGCAGGCGGGTCGGAGGAATAGCAGAGGGGGGGGAAGGCGCGAGGAGCGGCACGCTGGAAGCAGCTCCCCACGTCTTGGGAGGGGGGGGCCACGGCGTCACAGGGCGCCGAGCTGCTGGAGGCGGGGGTCTGGTGGAGGAAGAGGAGACGAGGGATGAGGGCTACAGGGAGGTGTGAGCGCGGAGGGAGGGAGGGAGGAGGCGGTGGTGGTGGCACTCGGCTCTTGGCCTACCTGCTGTGCTGAATGCTGCTCAATGACCGCCGTGCGCTACACGGGGGGACAGCCCCCAAGCGTGTTTGTGCTCGGCATCTTCCTCGCGACTAGCTATCCCATCTGGGGACACCTAGGATAACGTCAGGGTCAAGATACCCGATGGAATCACCCGTGAAAAGAAGCCGTGCGCGATCGCACTAGGTCCGAGGGTGGGAGAAAAGACGGGCGTCCCAGCTCACACGTGAATGAGAAAGGAGGATGCGGAGGGAGGAGGGGGAGGAGAAGAACCCAAGGGAGAGCGGAGGCGAAACATGAGAAGCAACGAGGGGGACTGGCTGAGTAAAAGCGAGGGGCTGGAAAGTGCGTCCCGCCGTCGCTTGTCTTCTCTGCCTGCTCCCGGCGAATCACCTAGAGGGTATGGTCCATAAACGACTGGGCGACTGCATCGAATGCGCGTTCTTTTCTTTCCACTGTCCCCTGGCATAACAACATCCTGTTATCTTCTCAATAGCACCACCTCCTCCCCTCTGTCGTTGCCTGTGGTTTCGTCGGGCTTGTCAATATGCTACGAACAAGTGTGCCCCTCTCCTTCCCCCTCTCGTTCTCTTACACATCTGCCGAACCACCCTCCGACATTTTGCTATTGAAATTGTCGTCTTTGACCTTCGGGTCGCCCTCGACAGGCTTGACGTATTTGACAACCTGCACTGTCCCACCTCCTGGATCCTTACCGAAATAACCAGAACTTGTAAACACTTGCTGCGGTGCGCGCGCAGCTCTCCGTATGATGCCCCATTTGCACCTCAAGATGCGCATCGTCTCGGTCGTGGTCACTGCCAAACTTCTTCATTGCGTGGCCGTCCATATTCCCCCCCCATGTTCGTAGTTTGGGTGCCGGGTGCGCTGCGCTGATCCCCCCAGGGTGGCAGGAAAGTGGAGACATTGGTGCGTTTGGTAGTAGTTGAATCTGCCAAGAGGGCATTGTGCTGGAACCCTTCACGGGCGCGAGAAAATTACGACATGTATGCGCTTGGTGATACCTTAGTGGGTCCGACTGTAGTAGGATACCTTACGTATCCGAATGTAAGAATTGAGCCTGCATGTAACGGCACCCCGCTGGATCCACCCAAGAACACAAGAAATCATCGACTGATGTGTGTTTTGGTGCACCATGCAGGGGCGCAGAAAAATGGCGACAGTTGTAAGTTGAGCAGCTGTCTCTGGCAACGTGCATTGGCTCCTTGCCGCCCCCGCCACCTCTACACTCTGCAGTGGGCCTCCTCGGCAACCTTCGGCTGCCGCCCTACGTGGAGCCGCCGCCATCGACCTGCCGCAGTCTTGCACCCCAGCCTCAGCAGATCAGCTCGGAGTCTCGCAGCAGCTTGCTGCCGCAAGCGACTCGATGGCCAGCTCCTCGGGCCTGGCCTCCTTGCACCACGCAGCTGCTGTGCGCTGGAATGCTTGGCAGCATGGCCGTTTAACAAACACTTGGGTGCCTTCATAGTGAACTGAACTGGTCGCCTATTTCTGCGACTGGTCGCCTAGTTCTGCGCGTCCAGCGCCGTCAGCCTTTGCCTCACCCCTGAGGTTTGGGCGCGACGCCACTGTTTGAGCAGGGCCCGCCCGTCCCCGCATTCCTATAGGCCTACTACAACAAGTTCTTAAAACCCAATTGTATTCTAAGAACAAAAAGCCTTTGTCTTAGAGCATGAACCCGATGTGTCAAGACAAGACAGTCTCAGCCAGAAATGTTCTAAGCACACTTCGTGGAAACCACAAAAAACGTCCTTAGACCACTGTTTGGTGGGCCCTACAGGCACGCCAGGACGCTTCGCCACTGCCTGAACTGCACGTCCACTGCCAGGACGCCTCAGCAGTGTCTGGCCGCACCGGCCGCCCACGCACGAAAAGCTTCGTGCTGTGGGTGCCCTCCCCGCCATCCTGCGGCTCCGCGGCCGCCCTCCGCCCCGTCTCGTTCTCTTGCAGAGCCGGGCAATGGTCGGGTCGGGCGACAGGGGGGGATAGCAAAGGGGGGGTTTGAGAATCAGCTCACGTAGCTGACTTTCCCGGCGCCTCCTGGCGCCAGAGGCGACTGTGTATCGAGGAAATGGGCCCCTCGGTGGGGCCGAAACCAGCTGCAAGCAGCAAATTTCGTACCCCCCCCCTTTCCCAATCCCCCTCTTTCGTCCGGCCAGAAATGGGTACGCTCTGCCCCGGCTGCTCGAACGCGCGAGCGGTCGCCTCTGCCACGCCGCGACGACAAAAAGTTGAGACGGGCAGCGCCCCGAAGAGAGAGAGGAAGGTAAACTAGGTGGCAACATGCGAACCCTACCCCTACCACCCACGACTTCTGAGGGGGAGGGTGGGGTTCACTTCGTTCGGGAGCTCCCGAGCGAATTGAACCCCACCCTCCCCCTCAGAAATCGTGGGAGGTAGGGGTAGGGTTCGCATGTGGCCACCTATAAACACTGACGTGGGTCCATGCAGGACGGCACCGACCCCCCAGGAGCGCAGGAAAGCAACAGCCCTTGTCCCTTCGGCAGCACGCAGGAGAGGAACGGCAGTCATCATTCTGTTCCACGTGGGGTGGGGCGCTTCGCTGACACCCGCGAGAGCGAAACATGCGCGAAATGCATGCAGGAAGGACAACGCCCAACTGGGAGGTGACAAGAACGTCAGGGTACGTAAGGTTCTGGCCGCACGGGACGAATGTGAAGGAGCACGAAAGGAGGATGAGAAGCCAGATAAGGGAGGCGTGGTGGGTCTAAAGGGACGGGAGGAGGCATGATCAACAGCTGCTCTATTGAAGGGGAGGGTACAACCACTCAAAGACCCTCCACTGGAGAATCGATGCATAATAAACTGAAACACAGACCAACCGTGCGTCAGATCAACAACCGAACCCGCCCAGGTACATGCAAATCAACTCATATGAAGAACGCGTGTTACATTTCCCCTCACAGAGGGAAATGGAAGTGCGCATACAGAAACAAGGTTGTATTCGACGTGGCGGCGTAGGCAAGGTGATCGAATAGTTACATGCAACACGCAAGGTTACCTGACTCTGTTGACCTGCCCCAAGCCTCACTAGTCCGCGCCCAAGCCGATTCATAGACTGACTTTTCAAGTGGCTGGACTCACATGCGAACCCCTTCCATGGGCGGATTCACACGGTGGTTGTCTGGGCTGGCTTGCAATGGTGTGCCTGGCGAAGAGCGGTCTTCGTTCGTCTTCTGCAGGCATGGTTGCATCTGTGATGTTTTCTTCCCCTTCCTCCTGACGCAACCTTTTTTTTCTGTCCATAACCAGTCGGGGCCTTGACGTCGTTGAGCTTCTTGCCTGGGGGATCTGAGGTTCCTGGTTTTCCATGGGTCGTGGTTGATTGTGCTGTTCTTGCTGGCTCTCGGCGCCCTCTCCCAAGCGCCGCCCCTACCTCCCCCCCATTTGGGTGCGGGGGGGGGGCAGAAACCAACAAACATATAATAACAATCAACCAACACATACCAATCAACCCAAACCACCTGAGGACAACCAAGAACATCAAAGCCACCAGGCAAAACAGTCAACGAAATCATGGCCCCGACTCGACGGGTTCTTTTCTTAGAAAAAAAGCAAAAACAAAACCTAAGGTGTTGCAATGCCCCCCTTCCGAAGACCAATTGGGGCTTTGATTTCGTTGATTAGTTTGCCGGGGGATCTGGTGTTCATGGTCTTCCTTTGTCTTGGATGAGTTTACTGTTTTTGTTGGTTTTCGGTGCCCTCTGCCCCCAAGCGCCGCCTTCACATCCCCCCCCCTGGGGGGCGGGGGGCCAGAAACCAACAAAAACATAGAAATCAACTAACACACAAGGATAACCAGGAAAACCAACAGCCTCAACCAAAACAGCAAACCAAATCAAAACCACCGAAACTGGTTTTTGAAAGAAACACAAAACGGCACCTTCGGTTTTCCGACGTTTCCATTGCGAAAAACCAATCGGATCCTTGATTTCGTTGAGTTGCTTTCCTGGGGGATCTGATGTTTCTGTGCTTTCCTTTGTGATGGTTGGGTTTACTGTGTTTGCCGGTTCTCGGCGCCCCTCCCCCCCGCGCCGCCTCCACCTCCCCCCCCCAGGGCGGCGCGGGGGCCAGAAACCAACAAAACATAAGCATTAACGAACACACAAAGAAAATACCAACGCCCCCAGGCAAAACAAATAACTCAATCAAGGCCCCCAAACAGGACAAACCAACAACACAAGACAAAAAAAGACTATCAATGCCCCCAGGCAACAAAAAACAGCGAAATCAAGGCCCCGACTGGTTTTTGACAGAAAAACAAAACACAACCTAGGGTTTGCCAATGTTGCCTTTGGGAAAACTGTTCGGGGCATTGATTTCGTTGGTGTTCTTCCCTGGGTGATCCGATTGCAATGTGCTTTCCATGTGTGTTAGTTGATGTTGCTGTTTATGTTGGTTAATCGTACTGTTGCTGTTGTTGGTTCTCGGCGCCCTCTCCTCCATCGCGCCGCCTCCACCGCCCCACCAGAAGGGGGCGCGGGTGGCCAGAAACCAACTGAAGCAATAAAATCAGCCAACACACAAGGACAATATAAAAAAAGCCCCCAGACAAAACATCAACGAAATCAATGCCCCGACTGGCTTTTGCCAAAAGAAACAAAACACAACCTAAAGAATGCCCCTTTGCGAAAACCAGTCGGTGCCGTGCATTCGTTGAGTTGTTTGTCTGGGGGATCTGAGTTTACGGTTTTCCCCTCCGCGCTGGTTGATGCTATTGTCTTTGTTGGTTTTCTGCGCCCTCTCACCCCCGGCGCCGCGTCCACCCCCCCCAGGGGGGCGCGGGGGCCAGAAACCAACAAAAGCATGAAACTCAACCACAACACAAGGAAAACCAAGAAAACCAAAGTCACCAGGCAAAAAAACCTAAGGCAAGACCACGACTGTTTTTAATGGAAAAACAAACCGCACCTAAGGTTTCCATTGCTTCCCTTCCGAAAACCAGTCGGGGCCTCGATGCCTGAGATGTCTGAAACCTTACACAAGGATGTCTTGCCGTCTGGTCGGATGGGGTTAGGGTCGGGCGCCGAGAAAACAGAAAGAGACATGGACGTATATAGAATGACTGCATATAAGCATGTACCAAACATGATTAATCAACACATATGATAAGGATGAGGTGAAGAACATCACCAGAAACATATTCATGTAGATCTCAGTGGCAGTCCCGACCATCTGTAAATCTATACAACTATACCTATATGTATATACGTGTGTATATAAATATCTACACACGCGCTGACCTCCGTCACGATACTCTGACGCACGAGATGGAAAGTCCTAAAGTCCGTCAAGCCCTCGGTACTCAGGTATAAAACGTTGTAAGGCCCAAGCGCCAAATGTTCTGACTTCCTGGGGTTTGCTGCCGTCCTGGGGCGTTTCTTGGGCCGCCTTGGGGCCCTCTTGGAGGGTTCTTGAGCCGTCTTGAGGCGATGTTAGGGATCTCTCTTGGGTCGTGTTAGATTGTCCCTCCGGAGAATACTCTTGGAGCACTCTCGAAGCGTCTTGAGGGCATCTTGGGCCGTTTTGAAGCCATCCTGGGCGTCTTGGAACGCTCTTGGGCCGTCACGCATGTCTCTTAGACCGTCTTTGTAACTTCGTGGACCCCTCATGGCCCCGCTGGGCAAGCCCCAGAAAGCCCTGGTCCCAAATTTGAGGTTCGAAGTCCCGTCTTTCGGCTTGTTTCCTCCTTTACTTCCCGGGTGTATGTATATAGAAATACGCGTATGCCTATCTGTATCTATCCACCACTGTCTTAC